CTTGGGGTGTCACGCCTTTTGGTTTTGTCTGGTTTGTTTCCCCGTCAGGAAATTAAAAATCAGAACAACGATGGACTATAAATACAATCAGTAATCAATGCTCATCAGTCATGCTGCCAACTGATCCAATTCATGGGGATCTTGACCAGTAAAGATGAAAGTGGCGCATGCCGGTGTAAAATCAGTGACCAACATTTCAAGTAAAGGCGGGAAACATCATGACCATAACAGGCTTCCATCACTATTGTTGCAAATTTAGTCCTTAATGGTCCTCCTCCTACATTTGTGACGAGTCATTCATTTCACACGTCCGGGGATGCATCGATGTTTCGAAGATCTAACAGTCCGGAAGTCTAGAACTTCGGGTGTAATTTCAGCCTTGCAGCCGAAAGATCCCATCTCAAGTACAACATGTCCACCCGAAATAATGACACAGCCACCCTTTGCATGGCCAGCCCTTCCAACCGCCCTCTAAAGAACCCAAACGGATCGAAAGAAGAAACAAATGCGTAGAGACACAGATTGCTTTTTTTTTTAATATAATTTAGTCGGAGAGGTTAAAGCAAAATGCCCCGGCGGTTCAGGAACAAACCCCTGCAAACATGTGAGATGCGCATCTCCACACAAATCAAAGCTTGGGATTTATATACACAATATCAAAAGGCGAGGATGCACACAAGATCCTTCCGGGTTTCGTACAAGCAGACATATTCCGTACAATCCCGCTAACTAACTACCTACCTGCCTTGTGATTTGACATGAGATGCAATACCCACCAGACTACTTGGCACTACAGATTACAAGACTCGGGCGGTCGGCGTATGCGGGCGGGGGGGTATCTGGGGCCGTTCGGTCAAGCGATGATCTCAAGAACGCACAAGGAATGAACCGACTTATTGACCTGGCTAGCAATTGACAGCCGCATGCATACCAGTGACGGACACCCCAAACTCAGCCCACATTGATTAATTCCAATATAGGTACATTACTTTGCAAAGCTCATGAAATGATTGAATAAACGAATACAAACGGGCGGCGCAGTGCATTGAGGGAGGAGGGAGGGAAGGAGGGAAGGAGTGAGTGAGTGAGTGAGTGAGTGGACTTGATAAACTGGATGGAGCCAAGTCAAAAAGTCACTTGGGTCGCTCAGCTGCGGCCCGATCTGCGGCCACCAAGGCCCGTTCTGACGGGTTCCGGGATTAGATGTCTAAACATGGACTTGATTGGAACAAGATCCGCCTCCCTCAAAGAAATTCCTCGCCCGTCCCGCATTTTCTGGGGGCCCCCATTCGCATCGCATCACATCGCACCGCATCCATCCATCTAATTCATTGCCCTGCGTGCATCACATCCAGAAACCTGATATTCCGCAGAATGTATAAATTATCCATCTGTGTACACCAAGGCTTGTACCTACGCTACAAATACACTCAGAGGCATTGAGCCAGGCCGCTGCAAGCAAAGCCGTTTTCAGCAATCTTTTTGGGCTTTCTTGATGTATCCTGCCTTCGCGCTCTCCTGGCTCGGCAACCCTCCTCTTTAGCTCGCCGCAGCGTATTCCGTCCGTACATACATACATCTGGGTGTACTCATCGTTCTGGACCCTTGCCGCAGTTGCTTGCACCTTAACTTTCCCACATCTTGGGTTTTCGTCTTTCAGGTCCCGTTTTTCAAGGTTGCGTTGGATCTGGTTGCTTGCTTGCCACTGAATCTTTTATTTTCCGCTCGCAACCTCAACTGCATCTGACAAGCGATGTGACAAGGCAGCACGCATACCTTCGTAGATGACAGCGCGCGATCAGCTGCTCCTGTCGACGATCTCAACATATTCTGAATTCCTAGATTGGTCTCAAAGATTTACGCAGGAAACGAAAGTTCATTGCCTGCGCCCTAAGAAGCATTCGCCTCATCACCAGTGTCGGGTGTCTCTCAAGACAGAGTTGTAACTGGTTTCTCGTCACACAGGCAGACGCTTACGTAGCATTACACAATCCTAAAAACACGTCTCTTTCCTGCGAGGGAGCGGCTCAAGTCCAACGGCTTTTGTAGCTTAGGCCTACGTTAGACGAGATGTCCTTCACGAGAGGATCCGTCTGCTAGTCGGTTGTTATTGTTGTTGTCCGTGTAAGAGGGCGTGGTCATAGGGCCATATGGCTTCGTCATGCTAACTGGCCCTTACAAGTTGGCTATTGGCTGACCCGTTTGGCCGGCTCCAAGAATGGTCAGATTAGCATATGGCAAACCAGCCACTGAGTGGCCTTTCCGACTCAAACCCACTGAACATCTGATCAGCCGTCGGCCAGTCCATCACGGGCGACCGACGCGAAGCCGAAGTGCCATCTCCACAAGGTAGTAGTCATGGAAAAGAGTGCCAGTCACTTTGTACAGATGCATACAAACATGGTAGTCGTTGCGATTTAGTCTCCCCTTGGCTAGGGAAAGCAGAAACCCACCATCCCTCCCCGACTCGTCACGAATGTCATCACGTCAAGGGCCTCAACTGCGACCTGAGGATGGCCCTGTCCCTCTCTTGAACCCCAGACAGCACACAGTTAAGTAGAGCTTCAGCTGTGGCACACATCCGTGCATGGCTCCATCGTTGGGGCTTATACACACATGCATATCACCAAGAGTCTCCGTTTTGGCCCGGCACGCACATACTTAATCTTTCTTGCTTCTATTCCTGTATCTGGGCGCGGGTTTTCGATCTGGTCAACATGGGATTTGAGGAATGTCCAGTGAATCCTTGCTGCTATCAATTGTTGCGCTGCTCTGTTGTCTGTGGTCTAGTCCAGCCCAATCTCAACTTGTACTTTGGAGTTGGCTGCTACTGCTGCTGCCCTTGTGTATGCCCTCCTTGTACCATCTATTGACATGCTCCAATCAGGCACGTTTCACATTGCTTAGGTAAATACGCCTGGGCAGCTTCTCGTTGTCATCATGATCGATTGTTCAAACAGACGCAAGTTCTAGACAGACGACCAGGAAGGAGGGGGAAGAAAAGACCATGTTGGATATTGAAGACTATTGCTGGCTGAGTGTGTTTTGCAACTGCCGGCTTGAGCCAAATTGCTTTTTTCCTTCACTGGTTTGTTTTCAACATTTCATCTTTGCTTTTTCCTTTCTCGTCTCCTAACTTGACTTTCCCAAAAGTCTGGATCAGCCAGCAAGTCATCACGTCACACTGCCTCTATAAGGGAGCCCACACCCCTAATTTTACTGCACCACCCTGACCTTGGCTGCAACGTGCTAACTTTGGGTCGTGGTCGCCAGCCAGACAGAACCTAGGTAAGGTAAGGTAGTAATCCTTGCATCCCCAGCCTGCAAGCCACTCCCCTCCCCCCTTCGAAGGAGGAGGGAGGAAAAAAAAAAAAAAAAAAAAAGGGACCTCCCGCGCCAAAGGTTATAGCTAGCCTCTAGTTGCACCTGCCTGGGTACGGGGATACTTGGTCATCCGGGGTACCTCGAGGTACTTCGGCTCTCCACCCCTGGTCCCTGGTACCATAGTACGGTTGGCCCCGCTAGTGCTCCCAGGCCCTCTCTCATGCCATGGCATGTACCGTACCCGCAATCGCTGTCTGTCCTTCCGGTCGTGCCACCGCCAGCTTGCTTGGGCTTGCTGCTGCTGCTGCTGTTGAAGCAGGTGGTAGGTTGAAAGGAGGGAAAATAGAGAGAATACAGAAGAGAGGGACAGACGGCATGTAGCGGCGACAGGTACACAGTTTTAGGTAGTAGATACTGACATTGGATCAATGCTTACCTAGAGTAATGCGTACATTCTAACTAGCTGTTGTTGTCTAGTAGTAGTAGTAGTACTACTGCCTGCTTCTTTTCTCTTTCCATTCATCAATCCAATTCCTACTACCCAACCCACCCCCCCCCCCCCCCCAGGAAGCAAGCCATCCATCCATCCATTCCATTTTAAACCCATTAATTCCATCCACCATTTTTTATCCTTGGGCCGACCAAATACCTACTACTACCTACATCCATACGCCCAGCCTACAGGCCTTACCTACGCATGCATACCTAGTACAGTACCTGATCAGCTGCAGCTGCTTCCGCGCTGACCTAGGTACCCGGCCAGGGTTGGCTCAAGTAACTGCAACTAAGCCCTCTCACCTCTCACCTACATTTACTGTCCTCTCTCTCTCCACCAATATTACACTGCCTACTTGCCCTCTTGCACCCAATAAAAAAATCTCACCCATTCTCTCTTCCTTTCCGCAAACACATAATAAGTGTGCTCCTCCCACACACTCTCTCTCATATTTACCGTTTGGCCCTTTTTCCATCTTACACAATTTGTTGGACGCATTCGAGCTCACCCTTATCTGGTCGGCCGACTTCTGACATTGGACCTACCCAGTGGTGGTGGATGGAAGCTTGGCTGGTCGGCAGCATCCTTAACACGAAAAAAGAAGAAGAAGAAAAGAAGAAAATCCCGAGCTGGTCTTCCTCGTTACCGCCATAGGAGTTGTTCTGCTCTCCTTTTTATTTGAACGCGATTCTCCAAATCTCCCTATTCATCAGTGACTAGAGCGAGCTTGGGAAGGAATATTTTGCTGTCGCGCGGCCTGGACGCTTCCAAAAGTGGTCTACACTGACTCAACTTGTCTGACTGACTTGTCTAGTCAGAACTTCTCCTGGGGCGGATTTGGGTTCGGCGTTCGCGAGCAGTTTAAACATAGCGCTCCAAAAGGCCTAAGGGACGGCCCGGCAAACTCGCAACGCGGTTTCTGAATTTGAATTTGATCTTGATCTTGGATTGTTATTTTTTTTTTCTTTTCTCTCCCACCCTCCGCTCCTGCTTCATCTGCTCTCTCTCTCTCTCTCTCTCTTTTCTACCTCACTCAACCATCTTCGCCAAATTTGAAAGAGCAACAAGAGCATCGTCATCGTCACAGGAATAGATACCAAAACCATACGATCGTGTCTGGACGTGGGTTATCAAGACACAAGTCTTGAAACTGGCGCCCCTCAGCCTCCGTCACCGTAGCATGGCGGAAGAGCACCGACATAGGGGACAACCTAGAAACGACCAGCACGAATCTCAGTACCCCCCTCTGCCAGGTGAAGAAGAAGATCGTGCCCGAGGACTTCCGCATCACCCACGACCAGCAATGGCAGCCGGAGCAGTCACTCTTCCCTCCATCCAGGACCCCAGCGGCCCGTACGGCCAGCCGCCGGCAAGGGTCTGGGATTCGCGCTCTGCATCTTCGGCTTATGGGGCATCTCCAAGCTCTGCCAACGGATATCCTCCGCCTGGCAACGCAGCGCCACCGTCAAGTCACTCAAATTACTCTCCCCCTCATCAGAGCTCGTATCCGCCTCCCCCTTCGTCGTACTTACCCCCAGTACAGCCTCATCCGACTGACGCGAGGGGTTCTTATCCTCCACCTCCCCCTCCTCAGGCGGGCCGCATGCCGCCCTCCATCTATGGGACTCCGCCGCAAGCACATCATAGCATGATGCAGCAGCAGAGCCCCTATTCCCGGGACAGCTACGGCTACCCATATGGCGCAGATCGTGGATATCCTGGAGATTATGGTCAGGGTGGCCCAGGACAGGCTGCCATGCACCATCCCCAGCAGGCTGCGCCGCGTCAGAGAACCTCGATAGCCTGCCGCTACTGTCGAAGGCGCAAGGTAAGCAAACGGCAGTATATAGTGTCAAAAAGGCGAACTAACAATGTCCTCCAGATACGATGTAGCGGCTATCAGAACTCCCCTGGAGGCAAGTGCTCGAACTGCATGAAGATGAATCAGGAATGCGTTTTTCAGCCCGTCTCATCGTCCGCATCCACTGCTTTTGTGCCAGTGTCTGCCTTGCAGAACATTCCAGCTGGCACGCAACTTTACGGTGCATATGGACAGCCTCTGCATGGAAGCGGTGCACCACCATATCCACCTCCCGGCCAATATGACCAGCCTTTACCGTCGCCTACAGGTTCTTTCGGTGGCTATCCCGACGACAGAGCTGATGCCAGCCGAAGGCGTCAGAGACCCCCGGAGGAAGACCACGCCGTGCGCTTGCCTCCTCCCACTACTTTCCCAGATGACAACATTCGAAGACGATCACCATCATCTAGCAGCAGTCCTAATCATTTGGCTCCATATGGGCCACTATCGACTCAGCCTCCGCAACCAGGCTATGATGGCAGAACACCTCCGCAACCAGTCTATGATGGCAGGACACCTCCGCAACCACTCTACGACGGCAGAACACCTCCGCCTCGGGGCAGTCCATTAGGAGCAGCAGTGCCACCTCCACCACCTGCTACAGGACCACCTCCGACAACAAGCGGAACATCTTCAAATTCAGTCATGAGTCTTGGTAGTATCATGGATTCGAATCATGACATTGACCGTGGCATGCTAGGCAGGCTAAATCAACGGAAAAAGTAAAAGAGGGAGGAAAAAATTGACGTGGTCTTGCCAGCACGAATGAGAAGTAGGCAATATTGGCTGCATTTTGGTTTGCAACATCATGTGCATTTGCGTTTTTCTATTCGATTCATCTGCAGAGACGGCCAGTACATACTGCTTAGAGGTCCGCCTTTGTGCTCTCGGGCCTGTGCAGCCGACCAACTCTGATCGAGCGCCTCATCGACTATTTCTCTATTCTTTTACGCGGCTCGACGATTATTCCTCATTTTATAGGCTGTTACTGGCGAACAACAAAATTACGACCCATGACGACAAAGCCTTCGTGCTTTTTACAATCATGTTCCAGCGGGTTTGGGTGGCACGACTTTAGATCAGTCTCGTTCGGCAACGAACAATCAATCAGCGTTTATATCCATTGCATTTTTCCGTCTGCTTTTTCTTATCTTTTATTTTATTACCCTCGGTCGACGACAGGTTGATGGATGTTGAGTTGGGATTCGGGCGCCTCGTTTCGTTTCGGAAGCGAATGTGGGGAAAGATTTGGGCTTGCCTCGCGGCAATGGTGGCATTTCGGCAGCACACGGTATTTCGACGGTACTGTCGGTACTGGGAGGACTACACGTCTTACAGGTTCGCGATGGGGTTATACAGGAAGGTGGCTCGTCGGAAGAACCTCTTCAGTCTTGATTTCGATGGTCGGACCGAGATCCTCGAGGACAATCCATGATGTACCGATACTCGAGCAAAGAGGATGTAGTTTTTGATAAAGAAAAAAGAAGAAGACTTTGCTCAGCTTGCAGTTTTGATACAATGCCAACGTATGCTCGCTAACGGTGCGGTGGCACACACCACGGTACGATGCCAATCTCTAGTCGCAGGGCGCGCGTGAAGCATGTAAGCAAGCAGGCAGGCTGGCAGGCAGGCAAAGCCTCGGAACTCCCCAGGTTGTCGTCGAGTGGTGGCGTGTCATGAAGTAGCTGAAAGGCAACAAAAGAGAGTGGTGGGTCCGTGAGAAAAGACGCCAAGTTCTCTGTTTAATGACCCCCCCCCAAGCACGAAACTTTGGGGTGTGCCGAATGATGTGCATGAGCGTCGAATGCAAAGAAGAATCGGCCGCCCACTACCTCCTACTAGTAATCTAGTGGCTAATAATGTAGCACTGTTTGCTACCTAACTACTACATTGATTTTTTACTCGTGGTTGGTTATTCGCCTACCCAGAAATTTCTAAATCGTTATCGTGTGTTAATTACCGCCTCGCAACGGTATCCTGGCCATGCCCGAAGCCTGAGGACGATCATGCGGCATACGGGGGGGAAAGCCCTTGGTGATGACTTGGTTTTCTCCCCCCCTCTCTTCATGGAGAAAAAACCTAGAGAGAGAGAGAGGAGAGGTTTTCTCCTCCTTTTGTTTTGGGATCCGAGTCCGTGCCTCATCTCGTGCTTGTCTGGGGGAAGATCATTGTAGGGAGACCAGGAGATGACAAGACTATTGAGGGTTGAAGGATGGAGTGAGTGATGAGGGAGGGGAGGAGGAGGAGGGGAGGAATAAAAATTGTACATTTCTATTCCCCTTCCAACCCTGATCACTTCTTGGCGGCTATTGTTGTTTTCTTCATTGTCACTTGCCTCCTGTCGTACTCTCCTTTTTGATCCATGTGTCACTTGTAAGTGTCTACGTCGTTGTCCTGCCTGCCCCTATCTATTCGAGTGTAGCATGACTTGATACCATGGTGGTTGGATTTTCTACGTGCCCTCCTTCGTATTTCTTCGCGCCGCGCCAATGCCATGTGCACCGTTTCTCTCCCCCGGGGAGGCGGCGTCGGGAAACATGGCCCCATGTGGTAGGGGGGGGGGAAAAAGAAGGAGAAAGGAACAAGTACTGCGCCTACTACCTAGCGAACCTAGGTATCTACACTACCGGCCGCCGCCAGCCAGCTAAAGACAACATGCCGCGAGTCAAAAAGTTTTGGTCCCAAAGTCTAAAGGAGCCGTCTCTCTCTCTTTTTTGGTGTCCCCATTCCCCCTCCCCTTCCTCCCTCCCCTCCAAAAGGCGCGCTGAAGGGACCGCTATTGCGTCCGCTCTGGGGCTTTGGCCAGTCACTGCCTGTGGATTCGAAATGCGCCGGGATAAGAGCCCGTGGCTAAGAAGGTCATGGTGTGTGGGTGGGAAGGGGGCCCGGGGCTGTCTCTGTTTCACTCTGTTGTTAGGGGCCCTCCCTCTATTCTGCAGCGAATCGGTACGATCCGTCACTGGGTCACCTAGAGCTATGGGGATCGGCTCCTCTTCTTTTACTGGAATAAAAATACTATAATGCGCTCGGCCTTGTTTTTAGTGTGTGTGCTCGTAATGATGAATGATGTTAACTACGTACTGCTTTTTCCCTTTTCCTGTCCTTTTTCTCCTCCCTCTTTCCCCCTCCCCTCCAATCAATTAGTATCGCTAGAGTTTTCTTTGGCTCCTCAGGACGGGAACCAATGGGATTTGAGAATTGGACTATGAGCCAGGAAAGCTATCGTAAGCTGATCCATAAACTACCTAGGCATGCATACCGGGAGTAAGGTCGGATGGAAATGAGTAGTAGGTAGGAGGGGAGGTTTGAAGAAAGCTACAGGAACAAGAAAGACACAAAAGTATTTCTTTGTAGTGGGCAGTGGAATTCAAAGTTCGTCGAATGTGTATAGAGTCGATAGAAAGAGAGCAAAGAAAAGATATACAAGTATATCGTGGGAAGTTGGGAAAGTCTGATAAACGCGCGTACCGTACCTACTTGCTCATTACCAAAGTGTCTTTCGGCTTGATGGTTCCGCGGCTACCTAGGTTTATTCTCATGGGAGACGGGAGCTTTCATTTTTGCCTAGGGCAAGGGAAAAGAAGAACATGGCGCGGCGGGCAGATTGACACATGTTCTATGTTGATCCAATATTTTCTCTTTGACATCCAAGCCCTCTCCTGTCCATCGGTTGGTGCTTTTTCCCATCAACCCCACCCCCCCCTTTCCCCCTCTATATTCTTTTGTTTTGAATAAGCGGTGTCGAGTCTTTAGGTATCATCATCTTTGGCTGACTCTCACCACCATCTTTGCTCATGTACAGGTGGCATAGCATAATTACCTACAGGGGAGATGAAAGTCTAAGCAAGTAGGGACCTAGGTACTGTAGGTAACCGGCCGTTGGGAAAAGAGAGGGGTCCCTTTTAGAGGCCAGATGCTAATGTGCAGACGGAAGTAGGACCGTTCGCTCCCCCCTCCCCTAACTCAAAAAGCCAGGAAAGCTGTGGAATAGACTTGGGTAACGATCGATTTGACCCTCCCCTAAGAGAGAGGGGGGGGAGTGTTTGGAGCAAGTTTCTTTTTGATAGTCCCACACACACGATCGTCAAACTTCAGGCACTGGCTAGTCTCATCGAGCTGGACGGACGTAAGGAAAGATGTCTTGATTCGCGTGATCGTTGCTACATCTTTTTTGGAGCATAGGGCTTTCTCCTCTTCCTAGTGATGACTTGTTACAGGTATGATTGTATTCGCTTTTTAATTTTGGGTGTACGCAGCTGTTGGCACTGGCGTACGAGGCATTACCTATGTCAGCCTGACGGTCAATCTGCGGTTGTTTGGCTGGACTCGGGGGTAGTGTTTATGCGCCACAAATATTGCTGAACATGGTGAATGTGATCCCCCGAACGGATTAAATAGACATGGTTGTCCCTTGAAGTAAACGCACTTCTTCTTTCCGTGGATCCCTCCATCATCTCCCAGAAAAGGCTCTCATCCCCGAGGCTGGCTGAGCAAGCAAAGGAAAATGGTACTATACTCCAAGCTCTGTCACGCCGTGCATATACCCATTTGAACCTGGAATCTTCTGACTGTCTTGTTATCAAGGTAGGTATGATGTACATATCCAAACAAAGCAATGGCAGCAAGCAAGGAAAGATACCGCCGGTGCCGAGCTTTGCGTAATGGGCATCAGGGGGAACAAAAACCTTACTTCTCTTTCTTCTGTCACGTTATTGCGATATACCCATACAAATGATTCCCGGCAACATGTATCTAAAAGCAGTAAACATGGGAGAGAAACCCTTTCCTTGTCTGTTTAGACAGTTTCAGGAATCTTATTCGCAGCTTGGAAATTTATTAGTGAAGACGCGCTTCCGCGTGGGAGATGCCTGGTTCCCCATCCCCCTCCCTCCCTCCCTCCTCGGGCCGACAAGGATGGGATATCTATCCTCCCTAACCGGAAGTCAGGCTCGGAGACTGATTGGGTGTCTCGAAAATTTTCGTAGGCCCCGATCTCGGGGAACCTGCCTCACAGAGACTATTGAATGGCTATTCCTTCGTTCATATTCTTTCTTGATTACTAGAAGATACATTGATGAATGATTGTTCATGTTCAATATCATCCTTGTAGCGTGAGAGAGGTTACATGAAATGGGCTGAGGTCTGATTACGCCACTCCATTCTTTGAAGCATTTGACCGAGTAACATGCGGTTATCGAAGTGTTTGGCAACCGGCAATTCATTGTGAGGCTGCCTTCTTGATTTTGGTTGATAAATACCAGACTGAAACGGTAGCAGTGGGCATTATTCCCAAAACTAGCCCCTTCATATCTAGACATGATTGTTTTTTTTTTTTTTTTTTTTTTGAATACTCCCCCGCAACATTTACCAGAAGCTGCTGCAGCCTGTGAGGCGGTTAGGTTGGTGAGTCCTATATTTTCAAATGACTGCACGCCCTAGGATCGACCTATAGAGGCAGCCACCAGTGTTGGCAGCTACAGATGTTGGATGTTCTCGGTATATACTACATTCAAATGATGAAAGTCGTTGTATCTCAGGCAACAGTACGTTTTGGAGAGATCGGTGGTATGTAGCCTCCTTTTTGAGCTGTCTCAATGCACGCAAAGTGCGAGAAAGATACAAGGTGGACAGCTAGCTTCCCGGTACTTGTTGCAACTTCGCTACATCCTTGTACTTTCATCAAGATATTTGATATACAAATCTTGGAAGTTCGAACTTGAAGACTTTGTCCTTGTTGGCGTCCAATTGTCATGCCGGGGCGATCTGACCCTTGAATGAAAGAGTAACGCCGGGACGCCCATGTAGAAGAACTAGAAGAAAAGTTCAAACAGAAGCATTGAAGAAGACTTCTACCTCGGAGCCGGATAACTCCGATTTGCTGTCCGCACCGGCTGTATCGACCTTGTTGGCCAGTCTCGTGCAGCACGGACTCAATACAGGTGCTATAATCCAATGATTTCAAGGACAAATGACGTGCAGAGAATGGCAAGGCTGAAGGTTTGTGTGTAGAAGCGACGACTTGTGTTCGAATCTTTTGAGTCAGTAGAAGAAAGACGGTGTATTGGTTGCCTGAAAGGCACCACTAGGTTTGCTTGAGGAGCCTGTTCTGGGAACTGTTCATCACTGAAGCTGGAACACCTTCTCACTTCAGGGGTACCACAAACCCTCTCCTGAAAATGTAAGCGGCGGAAACTATGGGAAAAGAGGTACCACGAGTGACACGCCTGTAAGCCACTATCGTTCCTCATTAGATACAGTGACTACTGATCGCGGACTCTGGGCTCGGAAACCTTGACCATATCCTAGCCTCATCAGAAGAGGTCGCCCATTCAAAGCGAATAATGTCGGTCTACGAGTAGTTAATTCGTGGCGCCTCCTCGAGGGGTAAAATTCCTTTGACAAAATGACGACACCAACGCTTCGCTCCCTATTCCAAGCCCCTATTCTTCCCATAGCCCAACGAGTCACTGCTGCATGGCTGTTTAGGGCAGCCCGTCGGTCCCCCGGCGCTGCGAAGAAAAAAAAAGAGACGCTGGTTCTGCAGCCATAGCCTTTGGTGTCCATGTGTCCCCCAAGGTACACGGAGCTGGCTGCAGTAAGTACCCCCTTCAAGGGGGGAGGGGGGCAAACAGGAGGCAAACGCAAGATGGAACCCCGCGTGCCCTCTGCTACAGGAGGTGGGCACTTCGTCTTGCTCTTGAGCCACTGAATAAGGTCCTGAAAATCGGGATTTTGGGGGTTTCTACTGCAACTTGTTCCCTGCCCATACAGAGAGCACTGATCTTGTATGATCCGGACTGGTGTCTTGTATTATATATCTGGCTTGTTTCTACTTTCTTCTGTCGGCAACACGACTAAAAATATCATTTCTGCCAGACTGTTATTACAATCTTCCGTAGCCGTCTTCGAACGTAGCAGAATTGTCTTTCCAACTTCTCCGCAATGTACCTGTACAATGGCGTTCGAGGAGGGGTGAGTCGAAAGACCAAAGCATGATTCGATCCCTACCTACCTAGCCATGTATATGCCATGTAGAGGTAACGGGATCCTCCTAGTCCCTTGGCCGAGTCAAGAGTCATAGAACCGGGACTTTCCTTTAATGTCTTCATTTCGAATTGGCGGTCTATCTGTCTCCTAGTAAGTCATGAGATCATGTACATGGCCGAATCGCGGTTGTGTGCTAGGTGCAGGACCTACATCACAAGAGAAGATACCGCGACAGACTCTTATCCGCCGAGTCAAGACTTGTGGCTAGAGCCACGTCTATTACCAGAATGCATCGTAGAATGCGTGTCAGGCAACCCGCATAGTTGAGATCTCACCAGCCAGCTTACAAGTTGCTGCACATTTCCCAAAGCCATTCAATCCCTACATTCCAATGTTTGCGAGCTAGGTCCACCGTAGTTCCCCCAAAGCGGTTTCGAGATACACATAAGTAGCCTTCTGCCTTGCCCGGTGAGCTCTGGAGACCACAAGTACATCAAGGTACAGATATCCGTATGGAAGGCAGAACTGAGTCGTTGCCTGATACTTGCTTTCAATACTTGGGCTACATGAGAGGTGTGACAGAATATCTATCATATGTAATCAAACACAAATTTGCTGTATTCCCTACGATAATGAGGAGAGAGAGAGAGAACCAATTTTGAGTTTGTCAAGCTCCACCTTGAAGCTGAGCAAGTACAGGAGAAATAAAGAAAAAGTAGAACCCAGTAGGAACACGAATGATTATGAACTATTGTCTGGATATGAAAGAATCTGAATTCATTGTGCATGCACGAAGCTGAAGCCGATTCCAAACCGTCGACATCATGCCGAAGTAATCAGTGCAAGTTTTCAAGACGTGTGACCCCTCTGCTTGATGAATAAGGTATATAGCTTCTCCTCGGGGAGCCGAAAAAGTTCAGCGAGATTCAAATCAAATCCCAGTGAAATAGGGGGAAGGTTCATGTCTCTCATCTATCAGTTTTTTTTTTTGTTTTTGCCAAGTTCTTGCTGTATACATGCAACAAGAGCCCTGTATATCAGATCTAGCAAGCTCAACAATTTAGGCAGCATGCTTTCCTGCAAATTCTTTTCTCAATAATTTTCTAACCTTATTCCGCGCTCTTGTAGCATGAACAAGACATCACTTTGGGTTAGAAATGGAGAATCATATTGAGATGGCCAATATGAGAAACGGAGATGTGCCTGCAGGTCACTGCTCAAGGGTTGACTAAAAGTGCTCTTCCTTTTGAGGAGTCTGTGAATATATGTTGCGTAAGAGTGCTTTCCATCATTTGCATCTGGGTATATCAAGAAAGACAAATCTATGATGAGCTCCTTGGACATTGAACCAAGACTGGTATATTCAATACGTCAAAGAACGTGATTCGTTGAATTTCTCCCTCTTGGAGCCTCTTTGACTGATCCTCCCTGTGAATAATCACCCTGGGATTGAGCGGGCGTCATTACTTGAAAATCAAAGATGTGCTGTCTTGAGGTCTAAAAGCCATTCGTGGGAGAAGGGTTATTAGCAGGTTCAATGACACCTGAAACTGATCATCCAAAGCAGAGCTAGGGTATGATTTGCATCATGTTCCGCTGAGTTTCAAGCTGGCTGCTTTGATATGACGCGTCAGACTATGGTATCACAGTATAGCAATGGGAAGGAGAAGTTAGTGAGAGAGCATCATGGGTATAGTTACTGGTTGAGTATCGAGATGTGGTAGACTCTACGATCAACGGTCCTTGATACCGTAGAGTCAAGTGGTTCAATCACCCAGCACCATAGCAGTACGGAGAGAATCGCCCGCCATGTTCGTGATTTCTTCTTGTTCAACAATACCAGAATTTAGTAGTTGATACCGGCCCATTGATACTATATTCTAGATTTTGGGGACCCTTGATGATGAGCAAGCCCAGGCCAGATATTAGTGGTATACATCAAACAAATTTTGAAGCAAGTACCATAGATCTTATATCACATGCTAGGATGTTCGGGCACATAGAAGAATTACTGTCCGCAATGCTTTGATTAATCCACTAGGAGGTGTCTGATGTGCTCTCACACTCTCCAGCTCCCGCAATTTTCGTTTATATCTCTCCTCGTTTCTAGTCGAGTGTATAAATATTATGATGCCGCGGTGACCATGTCCGGTAAGTATGATCGAATGATCACAGCTGAGTTTTGAACTAGCATATCTCCTAACAAATAGTCTCTCACTGGGTGTCTCTCCTGCCAAGAAAGGGAAGGACAGAGTAAACATTATCAACCACGGGTTCGATGCGCAGACTCAGCGCACAATAGCGACCTCTTCCCGTATGGTCATTTCTCCCTCTGCACTTCTCTCTAGGACAAAGCACCGTTCGGCAAATATCCCACGTGCGTTCTGCGCCCGCCATGCCTCACCGAGTCGCCGGACCAGGTGGCGTTTCCAGCCCCCGACGTTGATGGTGATGGAGCGCCACGGGATGGTACCGGTCTTGTCCCGAACCAGCGACTGCCAGATGCGGACGGCGGCATCGTAATCGCGGTCCACGTCGGGATGAACGACCTCAAAGGCGCGGAGCACCGTCTGGACGTGCAGGGTCAGGGTGTGGAGACGCGGAAAGCCGCACAGGGCCCGGACAAAGAGGACCGGGTCACAGTAGGTGGTGTCCATGTCGAGCTCGAGTGTATGCAAGTCGACGAGCTGCTGAGAAAGTGCGGCGAGGTCGCCTTGCCACATGGTGGGACACCGGTGGTCGTCTTCGCCAAAGCCGACGTGGTCGCGGAACCGCAGGACGCGCAGGGAGTTCGCGTGGGCCGAGAGAGCGTCTATGGGGAAGCTTTGTGTGTGGCAGGTAATTTGCAGGTTCTGGAGCGCCTTGATCTTCTTGATCAGTATATATAGCCCCCGAGTTGCGTCCTGACGTCGATCCGCAAGATGGGCACTAAAGTCGTCGCACTGTAAAGTATGGAGATCGGCCAGGTCTTCAAAGGGAATGGATCTCAAGAACTCAAAAATAGGAACATCAATGAGCTTGAGTAGGCGAATGCGAGAAAAGTCCCAGTATTCCTCCACTTCTTCTGCAGAGTGATTCCAGTCATATGAGCGTAGCACAAGCTCCTTGAAGGCGGGCAAAGGCTCTCCATCTGCAAAGGAGAATCGAGTGCCCTGGCCTCTATCTTGGTAGACAAATGTTTCGAGATTTGTAGACCGCGTGATAAGTTGTCTTAGCGACTCCAGCCTATTCGTTAGTGGAGGTGCTGGGCTGGCAAGCTTTAGTGATGTGAGTGCGTTGGTTGGTATCCCTCTCAAATAAGCGTCTTGCTGGTCGGATGAGAAATTTCGGAGCGGCAAATCATCGATGTAGAGTTTGGTCCTGTTCCGTTGAATGTGGTGAGCACTGATGACGTCTGCTGGCATCCAAAAATCTCCAACATGAAAATCCGCCCCAACATAGGTCCACCTGCCATGATCATAGTCAGTTTGATTCTTGAATGATATAAACAACGGAATTGAATGGCGAGTTTCACCTGACTGTTAATAATCTATGTATACGGTCTAATAACCGCTTCATATTCCGTGGATCAAGGTCACTACGAGCCTCCACATGCCGGGTATGTTTAAAGACCTTGTCTAGGGCGTCAGGGAGATGAGTCTGCGCTTGAGGAGCGATAATGAGATCGTTCAAGCAAAGATACTCATATTTGATTGGTGTAATGATGGCGTCAAACCTCCTGGACAGCAGACGGGCAACCGCCAGAGACCTTGTGTCGATGGCGCGGAGCTATAAGATTGAGTCAGCATGGGTATTCGTAGATTAGGATAATTCAGCGTTGATGAAAGCACTCTAGTATCCCACTTGCCTGTTCGAATATAAGAGCCAAGAGCTCAGAGCTCAAATCGTTCATCGACCACGTTTGTCTTGGTTGCTCAAGACTCAAGTTGGTCGCCATCCGTATATTACCATTACCGATGTGCAAGTCGAGCTTCTGAGGAACGAGGGAGAAAAGAGAAGGAGGCTGACACAAGACCTGTGTTGGGGCCATTGTGACGTTATGAGAAGAGGAGGAGGAGGAAGAAGTGGATTTTCTTCTGGCTGATTCGAGATCTCGGGTATTACCATGCGCTCGAAGCGAGAAGCGGTGCTGTTGCTGCGGTGGACATGCAAGTTGTCAAGACGGGAGGGATGGGATCCAGCAGCAGCAGCAGCAGCACACGACGACGACGACAACGCGGCCGTCCCAGCTGCAGTCGGCACGATTATGCAACATTCATCGGAGAATAAAGCTTGACAGCGGGCAGCGGCGCAGGAGCGGGCAAGGTATATACAAGGTATACTCTCCTTTCTTGCCCGGTTCGGTTGCGGGACGTGACCCAGGACCACCACGCACGGGAGCGGAGAGCGAAGAAGAAGATCTACTTCCTAGCGTGTTGGCTGGAGCCGGACGCGCCTCTTTCTGGAAATGAAAGAACAACTAAACCCGTTGCGGTGAATGTCACGAAGAAGTCAACCCCCAATACGTACGTGAGGATCTTCTTCTTCTTTTTCTTCTTGCTTCTTGAGAGCCACAAAAGAGAAACAAGTTGCAAATGCGCAAGGACGGGTGGCCACGGACGGATCAGCCGATGCAGGAGGTTGTCACCGGGATAGCCTGAAGATCGATCAAAGATGAAAAAGGTATACTCAGCGGACTGGCCAGGGCAGCGAGATGAATCCTGAATCTAGCGGCAGCGGCCGCAGCAGTAAGACGATAGAAGAAGACGGTGAGAATGGAGAGCGGTAAAGACAGAATACAAAAGTAATATATGTCCCCAAGAGGAAAGAGAGACGAGACACTAAAGAGCAGAATAGGACGGATATACAAAGACTATGGCCGCACCGGGGCGCAATGACAACAATCGACGGTGAAAGAAACAACAGTCACTTATCCGCTAGACGCTTGCTCTCTTACTGGGACTAATAATAAAAGAGCGCCGGGGCGACAGAAGAGCAGACGAACCAGTCGCAAGGACCCAAAATCCGGTACATAATCTGATTCATGCAAACTTCTCACGTAGAGAAGTAACAACAGGGCGGCCCATCTCATCTTTCACAGGGCGAGTCCGGGTCAAGGCTAGGTAGATGGCATCCTCATGCCACGACGGGGATAGTAATAAGTTGGGGGGGACATTGACTCGGAGGACGGGACAACAATAGCATACTCTCAACCAGGGACAAGAAGGAACCAACAGGGCATACCTACTATGTACAGACAGGCACACGAACGGACGGACACAGACACAGACCAGATCCAGTCCAGCTAACGGCCGGAAGCGCTGCAGCCCATGGAGATGGCTACGCTACAGTACTGTGGTATGTACGAAATCTAAGTATGGAGTCATGACCCATGGAGAGCAACAGCAGCAGCAGAAACCATGAAGTAAAAAAAAAAACCATGTGCTAGACTTCTGTGTTCGTAGTTAGACTACCGACCCGGGAAGATGGGGCGGACAGGGGGGGAGCCCAGACAGGCATCAATCCGCTTGGCGATCCATAGTTCCACGAAGGGCGAAGACTGCGAAAAGAAGAGGGCACCGTCCGTCCGTCGGTCCGTCCGCGCATCGAATCGCGATGAATGATGATGATGCCCTGGCCTGTCCTGCGTTCGTATGTCCATCCCAAATGAGGAGCGTGCTGAGAGGGTAAGGCGTGCGCTTGTTTCAATTGACAGCAAAGGCCCGAAGGTGCAACGGCGTTTTGCTGACTTGTTTGAGACAGTTTGCGCGAAAAGAAGAGGGTGGGAGGGTGAGAAAAGTGCCTGTCAAAAAAAAAAAGTCATTTTTTTGCTTGGTCCTGGAGTGGACGAGGATGGATGGAATTTGAGGACCCATTCGCAAAGTTCGCCCAAAAAGGGTTGGCCTAGTCTGGCACTCTGCCGAGCGTTCGGGAAGGAATGATCCACTTCTACTAGGTATGTGCTAGCTAGTGTGGAACCGCCAGGGGATTGGGGGAGCTGCAATACTAAAAATTGAAGTTTAGGTTAGGTAGTCCCAGCTACTACTTACTACCTGTTGTAAAAGTCAGGTTACCTAGCAGCCTTGTAAGTAATGTACATACATACATATATGCGGATGGAAGGGGGGTTCCAACCGCTAACAAACAACATCCCCATCCCCCCCCTCCCTCTTTCCCTCCATTCTGAAGCGCCGCAAGACTCAAGGAGGGAAATAAACATGAGATGACGGGTGTGAATCAAGTAGAAGCTGGTCAATAGCATGTGGGATGGAGGGGATAATTACATCTATTTCGGTCGTCTCGATGAACCATCTATATTCCCTTGTGCTGTTTGACTGTTTGCACTTTGGATAAAAATAGTACCACTCATACATATCCCATGTCATTGATACTCTTTATATTCTGTACGTATTGCGGTTAATACCTCGTAAGCAAATCACTTGCAATCTGGATAAGGCAGTAAGACAGCCGACTGAAAGCGAATCACTCTGCAGATGAAACTTGCATATGATCGACATTTTCTTGTTAATTTGTCATCATTCACTTGAGAGACAGACCATAGACACCACTTACAATTCACTTACAATTCGGTACTCATTATGGGTATTCCACTAAAAGGCTACGGTCAAGCTCAACGGCGTCGAATTAAAAGAAAAATCTCCGCAAATGGGGCACAATGCGAAAGGAAGGATTGATAAACCCACCGATTCACGATTCCTTTTCATCGACAGTAAGATGGCGATCGACTAAATACACAAGACCACTATCATGATACTCATTGCCTGCTTGCCTACTTTTGTCCATGTATGCATGCATATGCATCGAGTCCGTCCCTGTACCACGTATGACAGGAAACCCCCCTCCCCGTACCGCCGCACCCAGCCCGCGCTGTGGGTTTGAACGTGGACGTGGATGTTTGGAGAGGCTGACTGAACCTGCATATCAGAAGACGAGGTGGAGACCAAGTAACTGACAGCCCACCCCCCCTGGCTCCCAACTTGAAACCAATCGCAACTAAGCAAATTGCTTCTCGCTACGGGCACTTGTTCTTCTCGGAAGGGTTCTTTGAACCCCAGGGTATTTGTCCCGTTTGATGAAGACATAGATTATGAGGAGGGGGAAAGGGGGAAAAAAAAAAACAGTATGAAACATCAGATACTTGTGGCTCTCGCTACCGACAATCGGAAAACAGCCCACTGTTTCTCTCGTCTATCCAATCGAAGACTCCTCAGACAAACATTTTACTCATCTGTCTGATCTGCCAGCACACCGGCGACGACCGCGATGACCCTAGACAAAACTTGTTCTATTATCATGGAGCTTGTCAATGTTGGAAACGAATGAACCTGATTACTGAGCCGAGCGGATGAACACTTTGGTCCGAGAAGTCCCAAACACTTGCGACCGAAACCTTAAGCAATGATTCTCGCTACTATATTCCCTTGTCCTTGGCGCATATGCACACGCGTTCTGTATCTTCAGTTGCTCTCCGCCTGTCCATCTGTCTGATTAGTCTGGCGAAAGCATCAAATCTGGGATTAATTCCGATCCTATACAGAGACAGAACTGAACGGCGATCTCAAGGGTTGTGTTTCGTCTTCATGCAGTGTATCGTGCTAGATACTGTGGTATTGGATACCCATGACACAGAACATGATAAAAAGCCATCGAATTTTATTTTCCCCATCACATAGTGTTTTTGTTTCACAAGCCTGTACAACACGATGATGCAGGTCTGTACACCGGCAGTCGTTTCCCTTGGAGTTCCTCTAGTGACATCTTCATGGCTGTGCTCTCATGTCCTACTACTTGAGGAAACCAGTTCGGGACAACCTCTACGAACTCATCTCCATATCTGGCGAGGTGGCTTACGGAAGCCGTTTTTGGCGGGGCTCACACTAAAATAAGGACACGGATATCCAAGTTTATCTGGTCGCCCAGTATGAGCAGCACGACTTGAGATGATCTGAGATGATCCAGACCCACCAGGCAAGCAAGATGTGTTGGCAAGGTGAAAAACGTTGTGTAATGAGCCACCAAACGTTATCAGGGGACACAACTCAAGGAACCCGCGTGGGTGGCTTGCATACATGCTTGAAGACTACACAAGGCGACAAGCCACTCTGACACTGATGACTTGCACGCCATTCAATTTAGCGGTACAGATTTGCGACACGCAGCTACAATACACACCCAGTGACAAACTCTTTTTTGAAAGTTTCTTCGCCATTGGTGACAGCGGTGAACATGCAGCAGCCGGTATTACGAGCCACACACCTCCACTTGCTGCTCCTGGCCAAACAAGGCAGAATCTGGGGGTGGCTTCTTCGTGCTCGTATACTTCGTATAATTCGTATTGCGGATACTGCTGGATTTTTTTATTTTTTTTTTGCTCAATTAAAAAAATAGAAACAAAAAAGCAACCGAATCGCATTGAAAGCTGAATGTGGAAAATGAGAATAGGAAAATCCCAAGGTTAGCTATTTCGCTATTTCGCCAGCCACAAAACCTCCAAGAACGGTTACCGATCTTCAATAGTCGGTATATAGAACCCGTCCGAGAAAGCCTATGCTAGGTAGGACCCAATCGCATCTCTTTCGAAACAAAAAGGTGAGATGACAAGAGACCTAGATGACCTAAACGACCCAGATAGCGTCGGACCCAAAATCGGCACTAAATCCAGCCACAAAGTCCGCACCCGTTGCTCCCGGTTCGCCGGCAATATCCAGAACGTTTTCTTTCCACTAGAATGTCGAAGCCAGTACCTTGGTAGTGGATGGGTGGATAGTAAACGGTGGATCCTCCCGGGACTCTTCACAGAATTCCCCGGTGTACGATATACTATGAAATGTAGGTAGATGAATGGCGAGTATGGGTAAACTCCACACGGTGGAAGCATCCTTATCCCAACTCTGTACGTGGCTTTCCAGGGAAGAGAAGGGAAAAAGAAAAAGAAAGAATAAAAGCTCATCGCCATGGATCCCCCAGTTGGCCAAACCCCCCTGCCTACATGTGTTGCAGTCTCGCAAGAATTTGCTTCCTTTTGGCATCCGGAGGGCTGGGCTGGAATAGCAGGTCCCGGTGGGCTGGAAGCGAAAAGGGCACGCCCCCGTCTAAACCGTTTATTGCCTGGTTGAGGTAGCATCGTGGCTTGCCTTGCCCGCTTCGCTGCTGCTGCTGCTGCTACTACTACTGTGAGTAATTGTTGGATGGGAAGCTGGGAGAGTAAAAAGAAAAAAAGAAGACTCGATAGAAAGCCTCGCTTAGAAAGTCTGGTCCTTGACCAAGATCGCGCTGTAGTCTATTTTCAGTACTCGGCGCGATTCGATAAGTCTTCTACCTAACTTGATAGTTGCCAAGCTCAGCCATTCAATGTTACCTAGCTTCCACATGTTGCGTAGCATAGCGAATCTTATTGAGCCCTTTCTAAGATGATTCGATAATTCCGTGTGCGGGATCGAGGACAGACACGAAATATCGGATTTCTGGAGCCATTGGCGTTGGTAAATCTGTATGCATATATGTCACGACATAAAAAGCAGTGTATAATGCATTCTATGCGAGTATTTTGCACATATTCATCTTATCTCATGATCCCTCGAAACGAAAGACCATAAGGTTTCTTGGCGTCTGATTATTCTGCAACCGAGAGTTCCCTTCCAAGGTCTACGTAATGAGAAGGATTCCATGGTCATCACCTTGTCCAAATGCTACCAAAAGGAGAGTACAACCACTATGATACGACGAAAGCACCACCCAGTAAGATTGCGGGCTCATTGATATTGTGATGCTCATAGCTAAGCAGATCTCGTTAGCATGCCGCCCAACAATGGCCACAGTTGACCGTACTGGTGTTTTCATGCAACTGACCTTAGAGTACCAACACCACCGGCTTCTAGCAGAAATGCAGGGCCGTCGGGGAGAGTCTTGCCCACCCATCTCATTGCAAAGGCCCGGAGTATATGGCCATGGGCGACAACCAAGACATCACCGTGGTGTGCTGCTTCGCCCTTGGACTTGCCAATTACAGGTGCCTGCCATCTCTCACGGATGTCCTTGATCAGCCTGTCTACTCTCTCAGTGACCTGTTCCGGGCTCCTGTGTATGTCGTTGTCAGTTTGGTGATGCCGCAGGATCGGGCCAAGGGTAGACAAACTCGCCGCCGACACAGCCATCTCGCCAAATGTCCCAGTCGCGGTTTAGACCCTGCTTCTCCCGCTGATCTCTGATCTGAGCACTAGTTATGCCTTCATAGTCACCGTCTACAAATCCAAAGCGTTAGCAGCAGTGCCGTAGAAGGAGTTGACGTAGAAGGTGTCTTGCTTACAATCCCACTCCCGGATGTCTTCAGTGATCTCGACGCGCGCGTCACAGTCTGGGCCTCGACATTCAGGCTTATCACCATGCTCCTTCCATGGTAGAGGGTCCTTGATTCCTAGATTGAGCAGCTCAAAGGTTCGCTGAGCACGCGTGCGTGGGGATACATAACTAGGTTACCATCAGTTGAGACATTCTATATTTTCATGTACGTATAAACAAAAAGGGCAAACAGATTTCACTCTTCTATATCTCATGCTTTGCATCCTTGTTGGGAACTGTTCGGCAGATTCACATGTATATACTCTGCTGCCGTAGTCGGGAGATACATGATAACGAAAAAGTTTCTACTTACATATGTGCAAGCTGCTTCGGCACAATCAAACGGTCGTCACCCACGAGCGCTCTGCCGGTGGCCTGGACTCTTTTGACACCATTGGCCGTGAGAGGGATATCGCTAGTACCGGTGTGCCGGCCGTCCAAGGACCACTCGGTTTCGCCATGGCGGACAATAAAGACCCTCGGGGTTGTCATTGTAATGTTTCTCTCTCTCTCTATCTTGTCTTTATCGGCCAGCCTCGATTGACGAGTGCTTAAGCTTTTTCTCTCGAGGTGTGATCAGCAACTAGGACTTGATGCGCGACTTGAGACGCAGACTGTGTAGGAGTTCAGCCCCCTGCGTTGGTAACCTTGGCGCTTAGCTTGATCTGTCAGTTGGAGGAGACTATACGAGCGACGTGAAAACAATATACAGTCGCTAGGCACGAAACAGCTCTATGATGATTTTTTCAACGATGAGAAAGACCAAAGTGTAAGAAAAAGAAAGAAAGAGCAGAATAGTAGAGAGCGAAATAGAAGCGCGGGAATTTCGATCACTTGCGTAAATATCGTGTCCTAATAAGTGAGAACCAGGCCCGACTTACAACACAAGCCGGCAGCGGCGGGATTAGCTCAGCAACCTACCTACCTAACGAGAAAATACCTACCAAGCCAGCCAACCCCTCCCCCCCCACGCGAAACCACTGAGCAGTTTCAGGAAGTGATTGAAGCAGCAGCGCAGGGCCAATCGATAGCGAACCGAAGAAACATGAATCCAGAGAGATGAAATTTATCAGGATGATGAAGAATTTGACGGCTTTGACTTCTCTAATTTCCCTTCAGTTACAATCATAATCAATTTCCCCAAAAACCCATCGCGGACAAAAAGAACGCAACATTTTGTTTGTGCAATAATACATCCCTAGTACCAGCCAGCCAATACCTACGTCAGCGATAGTAATGATGCCCCCACTGGATCGCTTAATAAGGGCGCTGTCCTCGCCCGCCCGGATCGCTAGTTCCGGAACGAATTCCGCCTGGAGCAACCACAGCGCCGGCAAAGACGACGAATTTCTTCTCGGCGCTCTCGAGCTCCAACATCTACCGGGCAGCACCTCGACATCGATTGTTCCTCCAGCCATCAATTCGCGCTCAGCATCACCGGCTCCCTCTGAGGACACTGCCCAATCACCACCGCTTGCCATTCATCAACCCACCGGTTTGCCGGAACCTACATTACGCTTCCGGCACCGAGCCATTACGCGCTCCGACTCGTTCGACAGCACGTCGAGCGCGCAGAGCCGAAGCAGCAGTCGGAGCAGTCGCAGCACCGTGAGCAGCTACGGTGATGAAGTAGCGCGCAACAAGCGGCCCATCAAGACGAGACGGGAAAGCAAGTCCTGCTGGAGGGAGTACTGGGACTGAGTGAGAGGACAGCCCAGGCCAGCAAAGGAGGAATAAAGGCCGGCGAGCTCTTTTGAAATTATCCCAATCCGTCTTTCAGGAGAGCAAAATATCCCACCATGTCATCACAACCACCGCGCGGACCAAGAGTCAGGGGTGGACGGCCACGAGGACAACCGGGACCGACGCCCGTCGTGGCTCCCAAGGCGGTGCCCTCTACCAAGCGCATCGTATGGACGGTCGCCTTTGCCGCCGTTACGATCGTGGGTGCCATTTATGGCGCGGGACTAAAGACTCAACAAGAGTACAAAGCTGTATGTATTCCTTCTAAAGCATCTTTAAAGTGCAAGTATCAAAGTAATCATGACTAACTCTCTCTGCAGGAAAAGCAACAAATCATCGAGTCCACCACGGAAGACAGAATCAGCGACCTTGAAAATCGAAGGGCACTTCTAATGAATTCGCGGATGCCTCTGGAACGGAAATTGACTGCCCTGCAGGCCAGGATGAAGGCCAAAGAGGCCGAGGAGCAGGCCAAACAGGCTGCGGCACAAGTACCCGGGACCAACGCAAAGTGAGAGCGAGATGATGCGATCGGGGACATGAAATCACACATGGACCTCGATAATCGCCGAACTAGGGTTGCCCTGCATCTATTCAGGCCATTGCCACCAATCCTTAATCCATTACAGTGGAATCGAGGTGTAGAAGTTGTCGAGATCAAGTATCTGTCTAAAGCACGACACGACACGCCATGAAATAGCAACGCTCTGCGTCAGAAAATGCCTCCCATTGCCCAAACGGCTAGGAATATTACGGAGAAATCCGAGCACGCATACTATTGAGCGACAGGAAATCTGTACCATAACATTTAGAACCCTCTACCGCTGGGCACAAAGCCTACTTATGAGAAAAAGAAGAAGAATAAGTTTCCAACACCGTCTCCCAGTGATCCGAGATCTCAACGTCATTTATTGGCCTCCTCCTCCCTAGCCTGCCACTCCTCGCTCCTCTTTTTGAACTGCTCGTCCCCAAACTTGGCCATCCACCCCGCCACGTATGCGCTGTCGCACACCTCGTCGATCACCTCGATCCGCCGGCCCTCGGCGTCCATGGTGAGCATAAAGACAATATCATGCCGGTACGGCCCGTCGACCGTGTCGGCCTCGCCGCGGACGCGGAAGATGGTGGTGCGCGCCTCGACGTCGACGAACACGATGGGAGTGCTGGCATTACCAGCTACTTCTTCTTCTTCTTCTTCTTCTTTGCTGTTGGAAATTGAAGAAGAGGACCGGAATGACCCGGATCCGGTAAATCGGTAGTTGCGAAAGGCCCATTGCAAATTCGCCCACGACGCCACGGCCGTGTCATTGTCCGTAAACGTCAGATTCGGCACGCTGGGTCCAATGTGGTGAATGCATCTCGGGGCGCGGAGTCCCAATGCGGCAGACGGCGAAAATGGCTGCGTAAAGAGGGAGATGAACCTGTAGGTCGTGTCGAGGAGGGTCTGGCGGGATGGGGAAGACATGATAGCTAGACTATGTGGCGTGTTTGTCACGTTTCTGATATCGGCAGTCCTTTGTTTTTTTCGTCCGCGGCTTTGGGGTTGATTATGATCTTTCCTGGGCTCGAGATGCTTCCTCGAGCTTGCACTATCGGGATGAACCCCCTTGATCTTCTGTTCAAAGTCTCAGCTCCTTTTTCTTAGGCAGCATTTCCAATGGTTGAGCTGCTTCCGAGGCCAGAAAAGAGGGCGCTGGGCTTTTTTCAATGGGTTAGAAGTGCTACAAAGACGTAGTTTAAATAGTCGCGATATCGTCAGCGCCTGAATCATGGAAACAAACATATCATTTGGGAGAGAGAAAAGCTGAACATGTAGTGAAGACAATCTCGTCTATATACAGATGGGTGTGCAGGAGTAGTTGTCGATTAGAAATCGTTTTGATGTTTTGTCAGCTAATGCTACCTCCCAACAATTCCGCCAGTATCTCCACGGAACTCCACGGCGAGGAAGGCTTGCGTTGCGGCACTGGCTTGTCCATCAACGACTAGGTAGCGCTGGGCAGGACACGAACAGGGTAAGGTGGGCAGTTTTTGCGACAATAGAAAATGAAGAATAAACTAGTCACGACTTCATGGCAATGATTCAACAGGAGTACCTTTTAAGAAATATTTTTAGTCTTTTCTGAGAATAATAAATAGTCTGGTAACTACCTAACTTACTTGTGGCCAACTGCTGATGTCTCCATCCAGCCAGCACTCAAAACAAACACTAGACAACAAAACAAGGCACGCCCTATCGTCATCGAAACATTACACTCCTGAGTAATATCCTCCAACTCAAGATTAACCCAAGTGGTTTGCAGAATCGACGCATGAGGGTCCAGATGACAACTTGTCTAGGTCAAATAACATAAACCGATGCTGACTAGGTGGGAGACCGTGTTGTTGCATAGGCGTCGCTTGGTATTATGCATGGTTTTTCTTGCTGTTCAAAAGAGACTGCTTCATGTCGTCTTGCAAGTGATGCTAGACTTTGCTAGGATCCAAGCAGCTGTCGAAACCAAGAAATTAATGAAACTGGGGGGGTCCAAATCTCAGCGCCGATACAGCAGGCAAGTGATTTCCTTTCTCGCTTATAGGGAGAAGGCTAAATATTTCTTTGAAAGTCGTGCTGCTGAGTTGCCGAGCCTTAAGGAACATGAATCAAACCACAGAGGAGGTTCCACATCCAGCTCAAGACTCGTCCTTGGGGTCATGAACTCTTGGAATGGCTGGCGGGGGAGGTATGCCCCCGAAGAGTCGCTGCATTATTGTCTCCATACTCTCGTCCGCCATGGAGCTTTGGGGGTTCTGTGCAGACATTCTGTCTACTTCATCGAACAGCATTCTTAGGGTGGCCTCATTCTCTGTGGGGATCTTTTCTCCTTCCTCGGGACCTGGTTGCAGCTGAGAGCGTGCATTCCTAATCATAGCAAGAAATTCTTGGGCGTTTTCTTCTCTTCTCTTTTCGGGGCCCATTCCCAGCTGGAGGCGCTTATCCCTCAGCATGGTGAGAAATGTGTCCATTGACTTGTAGAGCTTTGGACACTTATTCCAAAGGGTATTGATATCCTTGTCGTGTGGTTGGATGTTTCCATCCTCAGCAGCGACACCAAAGCGATATCTCTCCGACGAGGACTCGTACCCAAACACAGTCGATGGTCGAATTGTATCGTTAAAGTTGACAGGAAGAACACCATTCCGATAGTACTTGCGGGCATCTTCAGCGTCAAGAGTATCATAGACAATGGAAGAAGCAAGCTTCTGGGTGCCGAGTGTGTCTGTCGTGGCTGGTGTGAAGGTATTGGATATCCGCGACGAACTTTCTTGATTTGTGATTCTTCCAAGCTCGCTGATAGCCTGCGGGAGAAAGGAACTGCCTTGGACGGAAGCCGAATCATCTGCCAAGGGCGCCGATCGTCTGGCTGTGGTTGACTGTTCGATATTGGTGGGTTTGTGTTGACGTAGACCTGGAGGACCGGCTGTTAGAGGACGAGGAGCTCCAGGGCCCTTGGATAGGATAGAGCTGTATGGAGAAGGATTGGCCCTCATCTCGGCTTCAACACTAGCATCCCACTCCATTATGCTGTTTCTGTTCCGAGTTGAAGGATCAGCAAGCTGTCGGGCAGACATGGTCTCTCGGGCACGAGACAATATTTTCTGAGCAGTTCTCTGTTGAGGATTCTCGTAAGATGCCAGGTTTGTCAACGTCTTGACGGACATCTGCTTCAGCGACTCATCCTCATTTGCGTCATCCTCAATGTCATCGATGAGGGCAGGCTCAGGAGAATCAATGCCGAAAGTCGTCATTACCGGTCCAACTTTCACCATCGGTTGGCCAGGGTTACCCATTCCATTCTCACTACGCTCAACGGAATCCTTTTCACCGGCTTCGAAGAGAGTTCTATACTCGCCCCAGTGACTTGTATTATCGACTGTCGAACGTGGAGGGCTGACTCTTGGGATTTGGGTTCTCGAGGGGGTGGGGTTTGTAGACAGAGGATTGGCTCTTGGGATTACCGATGGAACATTGACAGTTGGAGGACTGATAGCACGGTCCGTATTCTGCTGGAGAGGTGAGTACTGCAGAGGTGCGTCCTTCCACGCGTGGCTGAGATCCAAGGCATCGCCTTGAGCATTCCGGATTGTGATAGCTGCAGATCTGCGTACGGGCTTGGCAAACTGAGGTGTAGAGTTGGGGTTGACCAGAGAGCCTACAGTCGTGTACTTGGGGCCGTCCTTAATCTTGTCCGTGGCGGCGCGATCAATTTGGACAGAAGCAAAAGGATTAGGCTGAGGCTGAGGTGGAATATACATGGCTGTTTGGCGAGGCGGCGGCGTCGGCGTCGGCGTCGGCGTCGACGACTGGCCTAGAATTTGAGGGACCGAGGCCTGCGCTTTGAATCAGAATGAAACTGCGATGACAACTATAATGGATTGGCAGAGCTTACCCTTTGCTCGCGAGGCTGTGTCATTGTTGACGAGTCGCTTGGAGCTGGTGAGTGAAGAGGCCCCAGTGCTGGAGCGAAGAAAACGAATCCAAGTACCAAGTCAACTGCAACTAGGTGAATGAAGCGTGGGAAAAAATTGATGAGAACTATTTGGCGATGGAGATGATGGACCAGCAATGCGTCACCTCTCGGAAGTCGGAAGCTGAATGATTGATGGTCAAGAAAATGCAGTCGCAGTGTCAGAAGTGTCAGAAGAAGATGCTCGGTTTGATGGAACAAGAGGACAGAAATAATTAGATGCCCTGATTTTTGTTCATTCTGCGGTTGGCGGGTGAATCGACCAAGGCTCTTCAAACTTTTGTTGGGGAAGAGACAACAGGTCGGTCTATGGTCCTTTTCTGCCCGCCTTGTCGAGTATTTTCTGCCTGGATACCTAATGTCGAGGCCGTGGGCAGTCAGTTGCCAACTACCTTATTCTCTTGCATCGTTCTTTCCTTGGGTAGTGTGTTTCTCTTTACACCACATGCGTCCGTCGGTGCCCGCCCATCCAGGTCCTTCGGTGTTTCGAAGCTACTTGACAAACTTTGCAAGTCCAAGTTCAAGTTCAATTCTCTTTTCCGCGTTGAAAAGGTTTTGGTCGTCTCCGAAATTCTATTCACTGACTGCGTCGCCTGGGGTGATTATGTAAATACATTAGCAAGTCGCCAGATTCACTTGCACACTTTCTTCGGACAGAGCTCACTTGACGCAGCGCACACCGCTTGTAGCCATGCACCTTTCGCAATCAGAATCACCGCTTCTTCTTCCATTTTTCTGTTCTGCTAAACCATCTTCAATTCATCAGCCTCTTCTTTCAAATCAGATTCTAGGGAACTTTGGAATGGTTGTGTGTATGTGTATCGTTTTTGTCCCCCCTTAGCTTGGGTATCCAATCACGTTGTATTGTATCAAGAGGCACCAGGCAAATGAGACTAATTGCACCTACGTATTCAAGTGTCCAGTCGATGAAGCACCGGCCTCGGGTGCATTGAATTATTCAGTCGTGAGGCATATCAGCCTTCATTGTCTTTATCATTCAGGATTGCCCTCGATTCTATCCTGTTTCCCAGCGGCTAGTCCTTCTGATGTGATCAAACTTGGGAAGCATGGTGGCGCCAAGGAGCGTGCAGATGCCACCGTGCTTACGCTGGAGCTTGATCTTTTGGTCGCAGTCAAGCAACTTGGCTCGTGACAGGATAATCGATAACTCGAGTCTGGCCGTCAAGGAAACGCATGTTACGACGTGAGCGATAAAGACGGATCGTTACTCCTGGACGAGAACAGCAAGATTAGCAATGGGCCTTGCTTCTTCACAACTGGTGTTCACGGTACCACCACCCAAGGTCAAGATTCCTCGGGGCCTTTTTCGCCGGAATGCAGCCGATGGACTTTTCCCCTTTCCTAATCTCATTGCAAGCCTTGGAAGGGATACATGATATTAGAAATATTCAAATCGTTGTGTTCTCATCAAAGTTGCAGTTGTACAATCTGCAGGAGCTCTCTAATCTATCATAACTACGTGAACCATGGGCCGCTCCTGGCAAGAGAATTTTTTCAAGGGCATGGTTTTAGGTCAGAGTGCCAAGTTCAAGGAGGGAAAGCTCTGGAACAATTACCAAGACCTTCGACGGAGCCTACTTGATGACCACACCAACAGTGGGATCAGAATGGTTCCTCGCTATAGTCATAGACTTATACGAATTATACGAATAGTAGTATTCTATTGCCACATTGAGGGACGCAAACCCGCACCCCTGAGACTGTACGCGTAGATATCAGGGGTCCTTTTATGATCGCCATGCTTACAAAGAGGCTTACAAAGATTTTCCCCGGCCTAGTGGGTTGTTGAGGCGCAAACAACGGATGTGCCCAGGACGGAAGGAGTCAATTCAAGATCCCACAGCGAGATGAAGGCCTATGTAGGTAGTCATTCACAAGCTGAAGAGAGCTGATGAGGAAATAGTTTCAATTCATGGTGTAGAACCCCAAAGGTATGCCCACGTATCTACTTCTTTCGCTGTACTGTGCTCATCAATGGTTTATTTCTTCCGATTCCGTCGCTACCTACCTTAAAATATCGGTCTGGACAATATTACCTACATTAGCCTGCCAGTAACTACCTTAGCACGTACAGGCGTGGAGCCTGGACTACGTACACACGATAGACATTATATCATCTCGATCTGCAGGCAGCCAAGGAAGAATGATGATTTGTTTGGACACTCGCCCAGGACTGGAGACATCTATTGTGTTCTCGCCAGAAGATCGCCAGCTGACGTACGTATTCTCAGGTATGTCGAGCTGAAGCGGAATTCGTGCGCACGCGCTGCTTTCCTATCGTGTGAAAATAAAAAGATTTTGATTGATCTGCCTACTGCGGAAGACCTACCTACCTGAACTTTTTGATGCTGTACGTAAGGTATGTATGTACTGCCACAAACCGTCCGATGATAGATTGTCAGGGGCGGAACTATTTGACTTGGTGTGCCAAGAGACCTCGGGAATGACGTGGCCCTCCTATAATCATGTCACCCCGCAATGCGAGCCAAGCTCTTGTTCTTTGCATTCTTCTTGTGGTAATTATACTGATGCAGAGCAAGCGATTGATCTGTTCTCATGCCCATCGTCAAAATTTCCGAATAAGTCTAATTACTACACTAGGTTGGGTACTAGACCTAGGACCTAAGCATGGGACTCGTGTTGTCGTCGAGCGGTTTCAATAACGCGGGGGAAACCCCCCCGTCCGGCGTCTGTACGTACCAGGCTAGCAGCCCGTGGCCTCGCCTCGATTAATGGGTTTTACAGCCTGACAGGGTCCCCAAGGCCCAGTAAACCGTCGCCTGACGAGTCCACTAACGATCCTGGGTAACCGTTCGGGCTGCGTTCCGAGCGAACGGGAATTTTTTTGGATTTTAAGTTTTTAAAATAAGCTGTTCTCGTGCACTCGGCACTCTGATGCAACGACAAAGCTGTACAACTATCAGGCTTGTCTCATATACATGACGACGGGAAGAAAAAGAGAGTGACAGAGGACGCGCGCTGCATACTACATAGTACCTACCAAGCCCTTGAAGCCGTTATCTCCTCCATACCCGCAAGAGCATCTATTGTATGTATGTACCTTGGCTAGCAATTCAGTCGAAGCAGTTCCACGTCTGCATGTGTGCATGTGGATTTGTCTTGCGTCTTTGACCCGTACGTATGTACCTGTTTTATTACATACATTACATACCTTACCCTGGACTGCCTTCATGGTTCTCGCTCGCGCGTACCGAGAACCATCAAGCAATCAGCAGAAGCCAACCCAGGCCCAGCACGAATTCCGGCTGTGCCAGCTCCCACGCGCCGTTTATTAAATCAAGAAAGCGCCGGTGCTCCCCCTACCTTCATCTCATCATCGCTCCTCTTCAACTCTCCGCTTTTTTATCCCCCCTCCCCTTCTCTTGTCAAGTCAGTTGACTGTCTACATTATCCAGAGTCTACTACGTACCCTGCCTGTCTACTTACAGCAAAGCGCAACTTGGTCTCGACCATCCCCACTAAAATACAAAGAACCTCCCGCATCTGTCCTCCGTCTACCTACCGTAGTTTCGCGATCTTGAATCTTCCGCTCCCAGATCTCGACTCGCGCCCCAATCGCATTTGTTCCACTCAGCCATCATGGACTACTCGCAGCATTTCTATGGCAGTGGCGGCGGTCAGCCATACCAGTTTCTCGGCATCCCACCCCCAACACCTTCACACTCGCATTCGGTAGCTTCGGACGAGTTTAACCAGCAATCTCCCGCGGTTCGTATGCCCTCGAGAAGAGTATGCTGCCTGCCTGGGTACTTGGTCCGCAGTGCTAACGGGGCGGCGGCGGCCGGATAACAGGAAGTCTACGATCAATTTCAAAACTTTGAAAACTATCCGCAATTTGCCAACAATCGCGCGCACCCGCACGCATTCCAAGCAAGACAAACCCCGCCTACGCCGCCAGCCCAGCAACACCTGAACACGCGGAACCACAGGAGCTCACAGAGCGATGCCGTGTCAGCAGCCAAGCCTGAGCCTGCCCAAGATGCCCAGGCAGCCGGGTCAAATTCAGATGACGAGGACATGACGCCCGCCCAGTCCCGTCGCAAGGCGCAAAACCGTGCAGCGTGAGCGCCCAATACCGACCCTTTTCCCACAGCTAATGAGGACGTCAAATCACTAATCGCATTCTTCTGACTCACAGCCAGCGCGCCTTTCGAGAACGCAAAGAACGCCATGTCAAGGAGCTCGAAGCAAAGGTTGCTGCGCTCGAAGCCGCGCAACAGCAGACCTCGACTGAAAACGATCAGCTCAAGCGCGATCTGCAGAAAATGAGCACCGAAAACGAAGTCTTGCGCGCGACATCTAATATGAGCCAGAATGGGTCAATGAGCCCAGCAAGCAACCCTCCAACAACGACAGGCCCTATGCGCTTCAACCCGACAGACTTTTACTCTGATCTGCTGGCAAATCACACCAACAAGACACCAAGTCATCGCATCGTCGAGTCAGAAAACGGCGAGCGACTCCTTGCGGCCGGAGCAACCTGGGACCTGATTGTCAATCATCCGGCGTTCAAAAAGGGCCTCGTCGATGTTGGTGATGTAAGTGAACGGCTCAAATCAAAAGCCAGATGTGATGGACAAGGGCCTGTCTTTGAGGAATCGGCGGTTCTTAAAGCCATTGAAGAGAGCGTGGCCAGTGGTAGCGACGAGCTATTGTAAGCCTGATGCAACGGATCGACAATTGGCCGTCCTCAGATACTCTGTCTGAGCTTGCAGTGCCACTGTCAACTCTCGATCTGTCGTCGTACAATCAAACAATTGGGCAAAGTTTATATTCTCGCCGCATATTCGCCCTCATTCCGGAACATTAAACCTACTTTCTGACTTCTTGACACAAGATCAAGCGGCGTTGTTTGGCGTTGGCTCTTGCATTTCATTTCACGTTTTTGGGTTGGGAGGATTATCTGGACTGCAACACTAGGAGCAGCGACTATGATTGTGTCGGGACGAGAACAGCATGTGAGGCTTGAGCCAGTCTCTAGGAGTTCATAAACGAAAATCTTCAGGGGGGTCACTGACCCAAAGGCTAGCGGTCTTTTGATGTTGTACATCTGGGCGTTCATAGTCTGAAAATGACAAGTTACTACAAAGGCCAATGGTTATGACGAAAGCCTTGATACAAAACACTGTACTGTTTCGGCAGCGGACAGTGACATGAAATGGCATTATTGACTGGACATTGAACAACAGTGGTAGCTGTCTACTGATCTGATCGGATAGTGAACGTAGTACATTGTACCCATGCTTCGGTGACTTCACAGCGTCGACTCCTGCTTGGCAGCGAAATTTCACTTGCTGTGCTTTGTAGAGCATTCCATGTAGAGATACACCTTGCATTCATGCCTGATGCCTCGGATAGCTCCGGGCACAATTGCTACGGTAATGCGTGGCGGTCGATCTCGCCGACGGCTTGCGAAGCCGATCGACCATGCGGCCCTAAGCGGGCGCGGAGACACCCTCATTCGGGAAGCTCGATCCGGGTTTGACACATTCCAGGGGGAGAAAGCATATTTTACTCTCATTTACCGCATGTGTCTCATGCTGCCGGGTCGTCGTCGTCAGCTTTATCCCCAGCCCTACCGTTCCCACATAACAATCGACTTGATTTCCCAATGACCCATGGATCGGCGGCGCATGGGAATGGGGGAGGGGGCAAAAGGAATAAAGCTCATTTGCTGTGGGTGCCGGAGCGTCTTGGTAATCCTGAAATCTGGAGTGGTGTCTGCGCCTGCTTTGTCAGACTGCGTTGCGGCTAGGGCCTCATTTGTTTTGGCCTTTTGAGGGAGGTGTCTCATATTTTGTGGCCGAGTTCCTGCTGTCGCAATCATGTTCATCCGCATAAGTTGTAAATAGCTCCTACATATTTTGGAGATAAGAATGATGTGCACAATAATCAAGCAGAGTTTGAACACGTAGACACCACCTCCCTTGATCATATCAACGGTTTGACCAGTGTTATAGATGACTTGTCGCTTGGTTGTTCTGACGTTCAGGGGCCGCTCGTGTAGTGTACTATGCGGCGTATAATGTACAACGACAATAGAATAGCACATAGCTCGTGAACGAGGCTTCTTATCATCATGCCCAGAAACGTGTGCTCCGGCATGTTTAGGAACAATAAGGCATTAGATATCACTATTCCTGCAACGTGAACGTGGCCCCTTTAATGTATCGGGGACTCTTTCCTTTGTTCGAATGGTAGCCATTGCAACAACCGAACTAGGTGATCACCAGAAATTCGGCTTCTGAAAGCATTTTTCTCTTGCCGCTTCAGGAAGTACTGGACTGCGGGATTTGAGACATTTGCGACTAACGTCATGGCTATTGTCAAGGAAATCAAGGCTGGTTCGAAATAAATTGTTGCCTCGAGTAACTATTCGGAAAACTTCGATCCAGTGTTTTTCAAAGCAAAGGCTAGAACTCCATGAGACGTTTCCAAATGTCTCTTGCTGCACCTAAACTTTGGGCACGTTATCAGCTCATCATTGAAGCGCCTGTTTATTGTCATCTAGTAGTCCTGTAGTGTCAAGATGTTCGGTGTGGGTGAAGCGAGGGCATGAATTAACAAGATCCATTACTACTGTAACTTCTTCGTCGCCTCTCGAACATGTGTCGACCCTCCAAATAGCCCGAGAAAATATGCCGACCTAGTCAGGCAAAGAAACGCCTATTGCAATGAATCAGCATGTGAATATCAATCAAGGCGATCTGTAGCTGCACAAACCGTCGCTCCAATGTTGCCCCACGTCATGGCATTCCAGTCGCCGACAGCTAGGAAACTCTCGAGGCCCATCAGGTAGACCGTGACGCCAATATGGCTCAGATCGGCCAGCCAGAGGGCCACAAGGTAGTTTCTGACGACTTTGAGCTCGGTGGTCGTGTACAGGACTGCTACGCCCAGCAGGAAGAGAAGGCCGTAGGCATTGCCCAGCTGCAGCGCGACGAGGCGGGAGTTATCCGTGTGCGCAATGGGCGCCGCGGCCGAGATCTGCTCCTCGATGAACCAGTCCGGGGATATGAAGGGTGCCACGGCCCCGGCAATCCTGTCATATTCGGGTCAGCTTGAACCTATCCCGGAGCATACGTCCCCGCCAAGACGGGTTTCCGGCGCCGGGCAGTAGGGAGCAGCAGGTAGAGTCCACAGAAGTTTACATACAGTGAGATTGGCTCAATGACCGTGAAAACAACTCTTGGAAACGTGGGCAATTGAGAGGCCATTTTCGGAGCACTTGGTCCAACCCCCTAGTAAAGTCTGTGGATTGGTGGTATAAATCAAACATGCAGCGCTTGCAATCAGGTGGTATGTAAGCAGTAAAGCCTCGCTCTCCAGTTATTGTGCCATGGGGACAGAACAATAGTACTACTTTTAGTGTTTCAGGGCCGAGCCGAGGAACCATACAGTTTCCCCAGCCAGCCTCTTAGACGATGGATCTCCAGTTTTATATACACTACGCATGTATTGCAAATCAAGCCCCTGTTGATGATTACATTGAGTCCATCTTGCAATCATTAATGCTTGACACGGTAAAGATTCAAGAAATAAACAACGGCCGTGAACATTCCGTATTGAGCAGAGGCACACACAAGAAAGCAGTTGCAAATACAGATAACACGGCAGCTGCCCGCCAACTGCAACAAGAATCGTCCAAGAATCCTCCCCGGGCAGCGTCCGGAGATAAAAATGAATATGTTTGCATTGCAGTCGCTGTATTGTCGATCTTCTTCTTCATTTGACACAGGACGATGAGAGCCTAGAACACGACCTTCATTTCTCGTGCATTGTCGCTGAGGGGCGACTACCGGGATCAGTTCTCCTCTCCTCGATCCTAATGGTCGGCCATTAGCTCGACATTGACAAAGAAATGCTAAAACAACAGCCCAGAAGGCAAAAAGGCCCAGGCCTAGACAAAGAGGAGAATGATTTGCCTTGACACTGCTACATACACTACACACAGTACATACCACATACACACATTCCAGGTTTGACCTGGCGAATTACCGTTTCTGTTCGTTCGGTGACACTTCACCTCAAACGTTCATTCGCAACGCCAATAAGCCAGGGCGGACCCCCGAAGACCACTGCCACTGCCATCGCTTCGCACTACAAACCCCATCCATCGTTCTTCTCCTTTGTCCAACTAAACAGTCCATCCACGCGCGCCTCTATCAACTGGACAAGAATGGGATGATGGCCTCGGCGTTTGCCGGCTCGGATGTTAGCAGCAGATGTTGATGGCGGTTTTTTGTTTCCCCTGCTGGTATGCTGAAACTCTGCTTTTGGATTTGCCATCCCAGCCAAGCAGATTCCCATCTCCGCTTCTGCTTCTAGACTCCAAAGCTACCGTATCCCCAACGGCTACTGCCGCCGCGCGAAGGTTCAGTCAGATCCGTCCGATCAGGTCTTCCACATACCGGACGGACTTTGTCTCCATCTTGCTTCTCCCTGCGCAACTTATTGTCCTTTGGAATGGTTCTCGTTCTTTGCAGTTCGCTTGCCTGCCTGCTATTCAAACTGTACTGTAGGTAGCCAGGCTTTGCGTCTGCACAGTGTGCTACTACTACTACTGCTGCTGCTGCTCTCGATACGGGTGAAGGAGGGAGAGCGCTTCTTCTTCTATTCCCGTCGTTTGTCTTGGTTCCATGTAACTCTAGTCGTCCCGACCTTTTTTTGAATTCGCCACAGATTATATTTGTATTGATCTCACGTTGTCCGCGTCCCGTTCCAATGCCCTTCGATAGCACCTTTGCCCATTCAACATGGCCACTATTGAGCCACGACTGATTCATCTGTTGAACGAGCCGACTCCGAAGCCGCACCACGCCGAGCTGCCTCCGATCAAGGGCCTTAGTCTTCCCAAACCCACCGCCGGTCTTCAGCACCCTCATTCTATCGACCCCGGCGCTGGCCAACGATCCGATGGACATGATGTCGGGTCGGCGGGCCAATTGGCCCTGCAGTCTATACCACCACTTCTCACCCTGACAGAAGATGGCGCCGCCAGCTCTACTTCGCGGGCTACCGCAGAGAGGCATCCACCACATCACATATCATCCCAAGAACTTCGAAAGATTCTTGACATTGAGGATACTCCGGAGGGTACGGAAGATGCTATTACAAAGAAAAGGCCCTCCAAGGAGGACTTTATGCACCTACCACAGCCTCCCAAGAAGCAAAAGGCTTCTGCAGAAATGAGGTTTCCAGCAATGCCCCCAATGATCGTAGGTTTGGTCCAGCCGCCACTGGACGCCGGAATGCTGCCATCCATGCCATCCTATGACAGCCGCCCACGATCAGAACCACCTAAAGCACTGAGTATTGGCAAGCCGCCAGAACTCCAGACTACCTCCGAGGAGCAAGCGGCGCCCAGCCCTCCGCCCGATGCAGAGCGTACACCCACAGGCCGCCTCAAGCGGCGGGCAGCCAAACCCCGGCGGAAATGGACAGAGGAAGAAACAAACCACTTGTTATTGGGCGTCAGCAGGCACGGGGTTGGACGGTGGACAGACATCCTGGAAGACAAGGACTTTAGTTTCAATGAACGCACCGCTGGTGACTTGAAGGATCGATTCCGGACATGCTGTCCCGACGAACTCCGGTCAAGTGCTCGGGGGAAACAAGTCGCAAAGCAGGCAAAATCAGATGCAGCTGTTAATGCCAAACCAAAGAAAGGACTCATGTCGGAGAACATACTCAACGAACCAGAGGAGCATGCCGAGTCAGATCAGGGTCCCTCGGCCCAAAACGATTCAGACTCTGCACAAAAACAACGCAAAAGTCGCGCACATCGGAAGAAGTTGGAGGACCTGGCCGAGCTAGGTATCAAGGGTCCATTCAAAAAGTCGCAACGACGTGGCCGACGGCCCTTTTCCGAGCAGGACGATCAGGAAATTCTCTCGGGTTTTGAGGAGTACGGTCCCCAGTGGACGAAAATCCAGAGAGACCCAAGATTTCACCTGTCGAGTCGTCAGCCAACCGATTTGAGAGATAGACTGAGGAATAAATACCCCGAGAAGTTTGCCACTGCTGAAAAGACACAACTGCAGGTCAAGGGCAATGGTTTGCTTGAACCTTCGGTCGACATGAATATTGGTCATACGTTTGACAAGTCAAAGTCGGCGCTGCTTGAGCCACAACTCATTCGCAGCAATGAAAGAGAAGACATGCCGAGATGGCCCCTCTCTACTAGCCTGATGGACACGCCAGAGGCATCTCAAGCATCACATTACGCGGCCTGGACCGAGGTGGCCGGGGGAGCATTTCCACCGGGTGGAATGGGTGAGATGGATATTTCAAGACTTATTCTTAGTGATACCCATGCGGCACACGAGCCTCCAGCGTCAGACAGACGCGGCCTTGGATGATGAGCCATCAAATGTCAGATCGGACATTATATATTTCAAGAATCCGAAGTGATTTGGGCAGTCAACTACCAAAATACCTGCGGCGGACCTTTGGGAGGATGCAGCCAAGGTCCCGACAGGAACATGGAGAGCCAGCATGAAATGAAAAGGGCTCTCTATGCAGACGCTCGAGGATCATGATTTCATCCTTGCGCAAGAATACTGGGTTTTAGCGGTCAAGCAAAAGATACAAATAACACAAAGTATCATAATGGCTCTGCCTTTTCTTGGGCAACAACAGTCGAGGCAAACAGCCACGGGTCCGTGCCGCATTATGTGCATTAACAGTATCATAGTGTACGAACAGCTCTGTAAACAAACGTAGTGATTATTGATTCGTTGCGTAGACTCAGATGGGACAGCACGCCGAATAGGAGCGCGGAATGAAGGACTGAGGAATACATGCCCATTTCTTAGGACATCACAGAAGGGCATCTTGTGCCAAACAACGTTGCATCGGGCCGTGCCTGAAGATCGTGTGGTTGTACACCAGCTCTGGGAATCGAACCGGTGCTTTATCTTCTTGTCTCTTCATCTATTGATACTCGTCTATTCTCATCGCCATCATCGTCGACGTCCACCGTGGTTGGAAATGCCGGGCTGACTGGCAGCTGCAAGTGGATTCGTGCTGTTTCCTTATCTGTCTCCGATAAGGAATTTACCAGACGCTGCAGCCATAATTTTTTTTTTCTGCCGTTTGACCTGCAGCTCGGGCCCCTACGCCAAAAAAAACGAAGTCACGTGGGAAAAAGCTAGGGCACCACCCACAAACCTCAATCAACTCTTCGCTTTCCACTTTTGCGCGAAACTTTTACTTCGAGCACTCCAAACCACCCGACCTCACAACTAACCCACCAGCAATCAACCGCCAAAATGGGTAGAGGACCGTAAGTGACAGCCTCAAATCGATTCCCTTGCTACATGAGAAGGCCCAGGACTTTTTTATCTGCTGCCAATGGGTCGCTGCAAACAAATTTGTCCCGGGCCCGATCCTGCACCTCGATCTTGCGAAACCTCGAAGAGAAGAAAAATAACCATCACGATGCTAATATTTCCGGCCTCACAGTAAGAAGCACCAGAAGCGCCTTAGCGCCCCCTCGCACTGGCTTCTCGACAAGCTCTCGGGTGTCTACGCTCCCAAGCCGTCGGCCGGTCCCCACAAGCAGCGAGAATGTCTGCCCCTCATCATCTTCCTGCGCAACCGTCTCAAGTACGCCCTCAACTACCGTGAGACCAAGAGCATCTTGATGCAGCGTCTCATCAAGGTTGACGGCAAGGTCCGCACCGACATGACCTTCCCCGCCGGTTTCATGGACGTCATCACCATCGAGAAGACTGGCGAGCACTTCCGCCTCATCTTCGACACCAAGGGTCGCTTCACCGTCCACCGCATTCAGGCCGAGGAGGCTGAGTACAAGCTGGGCAAGGTCAAGAGAGTGCAACTTGGCAAGGGCGGCATCCCATTCTTGGTCACGCACGATGCGAGAACGTGAGTTCTGTCAGACATCATTCAGCCGTTGGATCAAGCTTTGGTCGAACCACCCCGTGTCTGGGTTATCACGAAAGAGCTTCGAGACGATGGCTGTATGTTTTCCCCTTCCCAACCCACGTGCTAACGTGCAATAATAGCATCCGCTACCCCGACCCTCTGATCAAGGTCAACGACACCGTCAAGATCGACATTGCCACTGGCAAGATCACCGACTTTGTCAAGTTCGACACTGGTGTCGTCGTCATGGTCACTGGTGGTCGCAACATGGGTCGTGTTGGTGTCATCACTCACCGTGAGAGACACGATGGTGGTTTCAACATCGTCCACGTCAAGGACGCCATTGACAACACCTTCGCCACCCGTGAGAGCAACGTTTTCGTCATTGGCTCTGAGAAGCCCTGGATCTCCCTGCCCAAGGGCAAGGGTGTCAAGCTCACCATCGCTGAGGAGCGTGACCGCCGCCGCGCTCACGCTCTGGCTGGCCACTAAATGTTGGGCCATGGCCAAGGAATTGAAAAAAGGGATATGTTCGGTACTGGTTGACTTTTGATACGCATGGGCTGGAGTCTACGGATCATGCTTTGTGCTAGCCATCACGACGGCGGCTTCTTTAGGTAATGAAGCTCAAATGAGAAGAAAGCAATTGACAATTAAGAAACCTGTTCAGCCCTGAAGGCTTGCTTCCAGCCCAGACTGTTTGTACGCTCGGATCCTATCGTGATGTAAAGTAGACCTGAAAAGTTTGTTCGATTCTCGTTGCGTTGCAAGACCACTCGATGCGAGCCTCGGATGCTCTTCTAGAGCTGCATCTTTAATTGCTTCTTTCGGTGATGTGTGATAGTGACTACTTCTTGGAGCATGGGGACATTTTCGTCAAGACTCACCGCCCGCTATGGGATATTTCCTACACATGGCTCACCATTCCCCGTTGATGCCTTGCGCCATGCAGCAAATGCTCGACCTCTCCCTTTGGAATTCTTGAAAGTTTCTGACATGCATGTGGACACGATGGGTGAGTATGTGCGACCAATCACTTGTGTGGTATTTCGCACGATTCGTATGCTTTGTCAAGGCCAATTTACACTTGCATTTTTTGAGAAGTGGAAAAATCGATGAATGTGTAGGGATGTAAGTTTCCGTCTTTCTCGTCCACTCTCAACTATCTCAAACACTAAGCTTGACTTTGACCAAATTGATGTGTCAAGTATTGCGGGATAATGCTTATAATATTGGGGAGGGAGGGAGTGATTTATTGACTTGTGATGTAATTCCTTTTCTTTTTTTTCCTCTCTCTCTCTTTTTCTTTTCCGGGGGATTTGTACGTAGTTATGCTAATGTGGGTAGCCGTGGTGACATTCTGGGGTAAATTGGCCTAGAGACGGCGCCTTTTTCCCCACGTTTGTCTCTTCTTGTTACACCACTGATCCCAGGAGCAGCGCCCATGGTGTCTCGTCGAGTATAGTGCATATCGACTGCCTGGGCTTGACCATCACGTGTGAGTTTCTATTACGTTATTGTCTTCTGTTTTTGTTTGCTTTTCGTGCAATGCGTTTTCATCCTTACCGGGCACATCATCTGCTTCCCCAAGCGCCCTGCCGTGCGTGCGTGCTGTCGAAGAGTAGGTAGGCATGTACGATTTGCCCTGCCCTGTTATTAAATTTCTATATTTCTGCAACTGACATAAGCCAGAATCGCACACTCCTTCCGCCCTTTTATAATGAACCACGGGTAGTCATGGTAAAGGCATCGATTCCGATTGGACTTATAATGCTGACATGCAAAAAAGTGTAGGTATATGTGCAAGCCCTGAACCAATATTTGCCCGGCATATAAGAGTATAATAGCTCGTTGGACAGACGCCCAAGGTTAGGTACCGTAAGCTCTGTGCGCAGAATCCGTCGTGGGGACCCTTGTGCAACTCATCCCGCGGCGCCAACGAACCAAATGTAATAAAAGGCATGGGCGACAATTCTTGAGTTTGATCACCCAGCCATACTGAGGTGCACAGCAACAACAATATCAAGTTGAGTGGCTTCAAGATTCATCCCACGACCTTTGCGGCCAGAATACGTCATTAGTAATATCTCAAGCTGCATCTCAGTGTCATGTCAGCTGACGTTCGGAAAGCGGCGAGCACAAGGTCGACCGAAAAAACCCCCAGCACAACCCAGGCCGTTTCCGCATACCGGATTCGGAGGGGCGGTACGTGGACCATGTCTTGTATACTGGCTAGCTTAGTTGATTATAGGCAAACGAGCCATGTCAGCCCGGAGAGGCGAGTCTTCTGGAAGCTCTCGACGCCAGCCAGAAACGACATCATGTGCAGATCCCACGTAGTATTTTATTTGCATGGAATATCTTGTACAAGGCCCCTCCCCCTCATCAGCAAGGCACTTCAGGTGGCTGCGGGCAACATGAGGTTGTGTGTATGTCATTCTGTACGGTACCTGACGACTGCGCTGGCGTCTGGCCCGTTGTCAAGAAAGCCCAAGCCCATTCCATTCCCAAGAGATCGTGCGTGCGTGCGCATTGCATGGGCATGAGACAATACTTTGGCGGCTGGCCCGATGTTACCCCTCCTCCATTCAATAACACAGGACAAGGCGACTTGCCCGCTTGACAATTGGCCCCTGGTCAGGCAAAAAAGAACACCCCTCTTTCTCACACCAGGACGGTCCACAACTACATGGCCACGAGATCTTTGAAATTGGAGAAGAGCTTTCCTTCTTCCCTCATTACCAATTTCTCTGAAGTCTGAGAGGAGCCACTGTGCAGATCGATTTGTTCCTCGTTCGGTATACGTACACCGAAGCTTTTATGCTATACTAGACTTCTCCCGGTGAGTGTCCGGCCTTGAGCCATTTCTGCGGCAATGATATACCGAGAGGGTCCATCGGCCAAACCCGAGCGAACAAACAGGCGAAACGAGCCCATCGTCAAGGGTAAAAAAATACGCAACCGCGGCGAGGCACAGCAACCCCCAAGGGAGGTAATTGCATTGTATGCGGAGAATACTACTCATGCGGGCAGGCAAAACTCATTTGCCCATAGTGTGCTTTTTGCATCCCACGGACTGCTGCATCATTGTTGGCCAACTCAACTTCCGTTCCCAGCGCTAGGCTCTTGTATTAGACACAAGCGCCGGTCTTCTTTTGGGGACTCATCCCACGCTCGGTTGCGTTTTCAGCCAAGTGGTTAGTTTTGGTCCTCTCAAACTTTACTTGAATCGTTTCTTTCCTCTCCTCTTTCTGTCCAATTGCGTGCTATCCGTGCTCTTTCCTACAGGAGACTCCACGCTGCATAGATTCCCCTAGCTCTCTCGAGTATGTTGTCATCTTGACAAGCTTCCGTATTGTAGGTACTATGCGTTAGCTCGGATCATCTGTGAAGGCTTGGCTCCATTCTCTATATAAATATACACGATGTGGTCAGCTGGAGTGTGCCGAGTGGTGCCCTCCCCCATATTACACAACCTGATTTACACATCTGCTACTTTCTCCAGTCCAACCACCAGAATTCAGTACAAGCTGTACTCTGTCAGCATTCGTTGACCATTACTGGGTTTCTTGTGACACACGCTCGGCGGAAACGACAGCTACTCCCGGCTCTGACACACCAGATCCGGGCAAGTCTACTTTGCAGGAAGAGGGTCACGAGGTCTTTTACCCGAAGCCTTCCAGTGATACACAAGAAGAGTTTTGGTCAGCAAATTTCTAGTCTCAGTTGGTCCATATCCTGGACATACAAAACACGGATATTTTTCTCTCGGACGTTGCTCCTCTTGTTCAGGCCTCAATCGCTCTCTGTCCTCGTCGACTCCTGCGAGCCGATCCGCTTCAACCTGTGCCACGCTTCATCGGGAAACAATACAATCTCCACCCATGATAGCAAGGCTTTCCTAAATTACGCACGGGTTTTTCGATCCATCATTCTGCATTATAGTCACCACTTATTTTTCTTCCTTCATTGGTCCAGACTGGTCGGTTGGTGTCTGCTGGAGCCCTCCTATCCGAACGGCCAACCTCCCAGCCTGAACATATAGAACAGGGCCAGAGGAAATCCTCAAGGCAGAGAGAATTCTGAACTATTGTCAGAAAAGTCCAGCTTGGGTTATCTTTTAGTCTGGCTCGATCATAAAAAGTTTCAAAGCTAGACACCATATAAGTGCATTTGGACTGTCACTTTATTTGCGATATTCGCCCCCCGACTTATACAAACCACGCTCTCGTGATGTCGTCAACACGCTTAATGAAGCATCTCTATCATGCCGGCAGGCGTAGGTTCTCCTCGATTCCCACGAGGAGGTCTGCCGGTAACGGAGGCAGTAGCCGGGCGTCATCTGGTCCTTCACAGCAGCTTCCTAGATGGTCCGGCGGCTCGGTGTTTGCACTGACGGCTACCGCCGGTGTTGTCGGCTTTGGCCTCGCCGCCTCGGGTCTACAACCATGGCCGAAAAGTCACGTCCTGCTCTTTGACAGCAAGGTCTCTTCGCCACGTTATGCATCATTGCACGAGTTGGAGATAGTATGCCGCCTAAAACAAAATCCCTTCGAATTTTCCGCTTCATTGTTTTTCGCTGCCCCCCCCCTTGAGGGCCCGAGACCAATTTTTCATCTTCTCTCCCAATGTACTGACTTTGATTTGTCCCCCCAAATAGGCGCTAGAGGAGATCCGTCATGAGATTGCAGCAGCAGCAGGCGACGGCGAGGACGAAGACATCATCTCCACGGACCCAGACGATTTGCACGCGCACGGGTACTCGGAATGGTCGAGCACCAACCCCGAGGGCCTGCCGGTGGCCGTGGCGTACCCGCGGTCGACGGAGCAAGTCTCCACCATTGCCCGCATCTGCCACAAGTACCGGATCCCCATCATCCCGTACTCGGGCGGCTCGAGCCTCGAGGGCAACTTTTCGGCTCCGTACGGCGGCATCAGTGTGGATTTTGCCTACATGGACCGCATCATTGAGTTTAACAAGAATGACATGGACATTGTCGTGCAGCCCAGCATTGGTTGGCAGGACTTGAATGAGCAATTGGCCCGGATGGAGAGCGGACTCTTTTTTCCAGTCGATCCAGGTAAACCGTTTTCTTTATTTTTTGAAGGTTGACAAATTGTTGAAAGAAGAAGAAAACGTCGTCTATGTTCGGGATATGCACACATGTCTCATCCACTCATGTGAATACTGACGATGCATCAACAGGTCCGAGTGCCAAGATTGGCGGCATGATTGGAACAAATTGCTCAGGGACCAATGCAGTGAGATATGGCACAATGAAGGACTGGGTCATCAACCTTACCGTTGTTCTTGCTGATGGGACTGTCATCAAGACACGCAGGAGACCGAGGAAATCCTCGGCCGGGTATAATCTCAATGGATTATTTGTGGGCTCCGAGGGTACTCTGGGCCTAGTGACTGAAGGTTGGTTTTTCTTTTTCTCATTGGCTCCTCGTGACCACGAATATTCGGCAGGCTACAAAGAGGGTTTTTTTTTTCCTTCTATTGACATAATTTCTTCAATCTAGCTACACTCAAACTCGCAGTGGTGCCCGAAGATCTCTCCGTTGCCGTGGTCACGTTCCCCACGATCCGCGACGCGGCCTCGGCAGCGGCCGAGGTGATGCAAACGGGCATCCCGGTGGCAGCCATGGAGATCATGGATGAGGTGCAGATGCGCGTGGTCAACCTCGGCGGTGCGACGGCGCCCAAGGTCTGGGAAGAGATGCCGACGCTCTTTTTCAAGTTCTCGGGCACCAAAGCCTCGGTCCGGGAGCACATTGGACTGGTGCAGAAAATCACCAAGAGGAATGGCGGGAGCAATTTCGAGTTTGCCAAGGATCAACGGGAGCAGAAGCTATTGTGGTCAGCTCGAAAGGAGTCGCTGTGGTCCATGTTGGCGCTTCGAAAGGACGGAGAAGAAGTCTGTGAGTGACACCAAACATGATGATTTTCCTCCTCCTCCTTTCCATCAGTTTCGAGGGTTTGATACTAAACAAACGCTGGACTTAAGGGAGTACCGACGTGGCAGTGCCGTTCAGCAGACTAGCCGACTTAATTGAGGTCAGCAAAAAGGAAATGGACGACATGGGCCTCTTTGCGAGCATCCTGGGCCACATTGGCGACGGCAACTTTCACGAGAGCATCATCTACAACCGACAAAAGAAGGAGGAGCGCGAAAAAGTCGAGCTTTGCGTCAAGAACATGGTTCGGCGCGCCATTGAGATGGAGGGGACCTGCACCGGCGAGCACTCGGTCGGCTGGGGCAAGAAGGAGAGTCTGCTGTGGGAGGTTGGCCCCGATACCGTGGCCGTCATGCGTCTGATCAAGCAGGCGCTTGATCCGCGGTGGATCATGAATCCCGGCAAGATTATGAATTTGCCTTGATTGGGGGGCATGTTGGTTTCATGATTGGAAAGAAAAGAAAAATTTGGGTGATTTCACCATGGGAAGAATTGATACTGGCTGCTTCTTTTCGGCGAGTTTTCATTGGTTCTCGAGTATCTTTATTTCTTTCTTTTAAGGTTCACCAAAAATAGATTTTTCATTTTCAGGTAAGTATCAGCTTGCATACTTAGGTACCAAAAATCATCAAAACCTAACATTCTTGCCATGCCAGTACGAAAATTGCTACTTGCCCCGGTGTGTTTGGATTGTAATAAAGGCTAGAATCTACACCATTGTTGTATCTTGATAGTTCAGGCTTCTCCTGTTTTTGGTCGATACTTTCAAGTATACTAACTACTGGCTTCGCGCGTGGGGATAGGACATAATGGGCAACAAAGGTAGGTAAGCAGGAAGTCAATTTGGTTCAATTTACGGGCCGTGACCTGTCAATTATAAAATGCAAACCACTTGCAGCAAATGATGGGTCAAATCACCCGTCCCATTTACATCAGAGACATGGACCAATCAGACCACAAAAGACCACCGCTGTACATACATGTCACACATGCACATCAATGTGCCGTTTGCTGGCTTTGAACCTCTTGGGGGTGGGTGCCGACCAATCAAGAAGTGCAATTAAATGATATAACAATCGTCCTGGTTTCATTCTTGCTTGGTTGGGATACATGCCAATCTGTCGCCTTTCTGCCGCTGTTATCGTCGCCGCGGCTGGAATTCCGAAGCGGCATTATTTTCATTTCTATTTTTTTTTCAAACTTCGTCTCTCTCTCTCTCTCTCTCTCTCTCG